AAATGAACTCTCATCATTTCTATAAATATCTCAATTAATTGGGTTGCAAGGGTTGTACAAATACACAAGGTTGTAAAAGAAATATACCCCCCCCCCACACACACACACACACATATATATATATATATAGAAAGGTTAATTTGAGAAGTGTAAGTATTTGAGAAGTAAAGAAGTGATCTTAGACCTTCATCAGTAAAGAAGTGATCTTAGACCTTCATCTGGTTAATATTTACGACTTTGACTATAAAGCACCGAGTAATTCCTCGCATTGATATGCAAAAGATAGAGGGGTCGTTTCGTAACTTTTACAAATAGACAAACAAGTTCATATATGAACCCGTGTGATTCATATATGAATTATATGTTCATATGTGAATCACAATGATTAATATGTGAATCAGTTAATTAGTTTATATATGAATCACACGGATTCATATGTGTGTCAATTAAAATAGTTCATATCTGAATTACACATGAACATATAATTCATATATGAATCACACGGGTTCACATATAAACCCGTTTGGCGTCTATTTATAAAAGTTACAAAACTACCCATCTATTTTTCGCATAGTCATAAATTTTGACCAGTCACGAGTCAAATATGATCTTGACCGTATGAAGGCCTAGAATCATTATTTTACTTCTCAAATATTTACCACTTCTCAAAATAACATATGACTATACGCACACACATATATATAAAGGGAGGTGTAAAGTAACCAAATAGGAGAACATGAAAACGGTTAAATCACATGCAATTTTATACTAATGGTCAACACAAGGGTGTGAAGGCGACGTGGCCTGCGACCGTTTTCTTATTATCTTATTTGGTTACTAATCTTGTATTAACCTAACACACACTCTCTCTATACACACACACACGCACACACACACACACACACACATATATATATATATATATATATATATATATATATATATATATATATTATAAAGCTTCTACCCTTGTTTTTAGAATCCCAACTTCAAGTTCCATAGTTTTAAAGCTACATGTTTAAACACCAACACATTAGTGAATAATTAATTTATAAACATGTTAGACTACAATAAAATTGGGTGTTTGTATTTACTGAGTTTATCAGAGCTGATTTTCTACAGACATAATTTATCGGACGGACACTCTTTCGAAAAGAAATCGGGTTTATAGGAAGCTACCAATAAATAAATATCTTAATAGACCACTTAATAAGACATAATTTATAGAACAAAGTAATAAAGCGTTCAATTTAAAGGTGTTGAAATAAATTTATATGACGTTTTTTGGCGTCTTAACGAGTTTTTAGGATGTTTTTGGGTATTTTAACAAGTTTTTTAGAACACTTGTAATATAAAACGTCAGATTAGCCATTTTATAAAAGTGTCCTATAAACTCATATTTTTATAGGACATCAGTGTCTATAAAATAGCTAATATGACCTTTTTTTTTTGTAAATGTGTTCTAGCAAACTTGTTACGACGACCAAAAACGTCCTATAATTTTTTTTGATTAACCTGCGCGCACAGGTAGTCGCCCTGGGGATTTTTATTCCTCCTTGGTTTGAACATGGGACCTCCGGGTACTTTTTACCTTTGGAGTCAAGCTCAAACTAATCGTGCACCACCCTTGTGGTTCGTACTATAAACTTATTACAACATCTTTAGATAGAATATTTTATTTTTGGGTCCTAGAAATTACGTCATCTAAAGTGGTCTATTAAGACGCTTATTTATTGGTGACGTCCTACAGATCCAATTTTATTATAATGGTTCAAATACAAGATAAACATTAAACCTTGTTACTGGGACAAATTACTACATCAAAACATAATAAAATTTTAAATTAAAGAATTTATACAAAAATAAATTTAAATTTAAATTTAAATTTGGTATTGGACCACCCTTACTACACCAATACCATGCTAACAAACAAGTACATTCAGTATCTGCCTACTGTTGTTGCTTTGGATGCTGCTGATATGCTACTGTCGTTATCCTGCTGCTATTTGAAACATCATTTCTTTTGAAAATGGAACCACTTGTATTATATCAGTTACATTAGTGCTGGTATGATTAAAACAGATCAAAAGATGAGTAACGTTGCATTTCATATCGCGAAGAGGGTGGTACAAAAGGAGCGGGTGAGAACCCTTTGTAGACGCACCCTCAGAAACGCTCGCGGTCGGGCTCTTCATCGTCATCTCGTTTACTCCAATGTACGTATCCCTCCTTTTCGTTTGTTTACATTTGTGTGTTTGATTTAATTTTGGTCGGTTTTTTGTCGTAAAACATGCATGCAGGTTGATGTAGTTCATGAGAGATTCCATGCAAACAAGCATACGGTTCGTTTATCTTACTTTTTAGTTATACATTACCCCCCCCCCCCATTTTTTAATTTATTATTTCTATCGGATGTCCAGGATGATGTAGATACTAACGGTCGGATGATCGTTGACGGTAAGGCAAAATACGGTAAGTGGCAGCACAACGATCGTTATGTTGGTAAGTAGCCTATCGGTAAATCGAAGTTGGGATCTAATGAGTCTTTTATAGTGACGTACATGACTTGAAACTTATATGTATATAGGGAAATATTTCGATAAAAAGGCAAAAAGGTTTACGATCGTTGTTGTAAACATAAGAATATACTATTCATATGTGAATTATTGGTAAACCTGAAAAATATCAAGCGTGTGTGAACCTATGTTTGGTTACTATCCTTTTTATGAATTAATTATTCTCATGTGAATATGCATACGTGAATCTATGTTTCCTTTTACCACCGATTCACATGTTTCTGCATTTTCAACCTTTTTGTCTTTCTTATTTGAACCGTTTGTGGGTAATTCAGTTTCGGAAACCATTTTGGCTTGTGTGTGTATCAAACGAGAACAGTGTTAAAATAAGAAAATTACGGGAATGGACAAATCATATTAGAGTTCGAGTGATATCCCATGTGATTATGGAACGGAAGGGGTGTGTGGACGACTTGGACCGGTTTGTAGGTCACGCAAATCACATGTGATTTTATACGTGATTTTCGTGTAAAATCACGGGATTTGATTGTTATTGTGTTTTCTTATTTAGTTATCATTCTCGTTTGAACCTGACTATATATATATATATATATGTATGTATGTATGTATGTAGCAAAGGTTATCTTAAGTAAAAAAGTAATTCTAGTTCTTCATATGGTCAATGTTGGTTTTGCTGATCAATAATTGCAGCTTTGAATGGTGAATAATTATGACTTTAACCGGTCAAAAATTGCGGCTATACAAAAAATAGAAAGGATTGTTTTGTAACTTTTACAAATAGGCGGCAAACAGGTTCGTATGTGAACCTATGTGATTCACATATGAACTATATATTCATATGTGAACTCGTGTAATTCACACATGCACCATTTTAAGTAATTCACATATGAATTGATTAACTGATTCATATATGAACACTTGTGATTTACATATGAACTAATTAACCGATTCACATATGAACTAATTAACGTGTCACATATGAACATATAGTTCATATGTATATCACATGAGTTCATATATGAACCCCTTTAAAGCCTATTTATAAAAAGTTATGAAACTACTTATCTATCTTCTGCATATACATGCAAGAAATTATCCGATATTTTACGATTAAAGCCATAAATATTAACCAAATAAAAGATTAGAATATTTTTTTATTTCTCAAAATAAAATAAGATTTTGTTGAAGGCCTCCTCCCCGTACATTTTCAGCCTCGTTTTTGTATATTTATTTATTAAGGTCCACAAAGCATAATCTATAGGCTCTGGATGATGTGGATATTTCAATCTAGTATTATATAAATCATAAAATTTTATTTATTATAATTTAAATATTTATAAAAAATATTAAAGTTTATTAATTACGATATCTATTTAAGAGAATAAGTAAACGGTCGAATCATATGTGATCTTACACTAACATCACGTACTAAATCACATGTGATTCACGCGACTTTACCCCGCGAACTGAAGACGCGGCCAAAGTCACCCGCACACCTTTTTTTGGCCGTTAATGTAAAATCATATGTGATTTTGCATGTGAATTAACCATTTTCATGTTCACTTAATACTTAGCATTCTTGTTTAATCCTCACTCTATATATAGAGTCAGGTCTACAGAAAATTGCAAAAAAATGAAAAACTGAGGAACACCTCATTATGTTTCAAGATTGGCAGGTTAGATCAAAATAGGCACAACATATAAAATTTTGAAACTTTATATCGGTTGGGATTGACTTGCCCACTTAAGTCACGCCTTGAAAAACAGTCCCCATTGTGCTCCTAAAACTTAAGACTTGATCTCACCGTCACCGTCATCTGTCACACCTCACATTGTTTAGAACCTTGAAGTAGCCTATCGGTAAAATCAAGTTAAGATCTACTTAGTCTTGTATAAGTGTTAATTGTAGAGCAATCTTTAATTCGATTGTTACATCGAACAGTTCTACGGGCTCACGATGGCAGCAAATTTACTCGCAACCCGACACCATCATCGCGGGCAATCTTTACTTCTTTCATGAGTACGGTATCCGTCTTTAAGGAAAACATTAATGCTACACTTGATCGCAAATCCGGTGTGCCAATAAAACAAGTCGAAAAGAAGGATGAGGAAATTGCACCAATGGAAGAGGATGAGGCCGTGATACAATCCGTGATTTCCGGTAAAACGCCATCTTACTCGTTGGAATCGAAGCTTGGGGACTGCAAGCGTGCGGCTTTTATCAGAAGAGTGTCCTTGGAGAGGGTAACGGGCAAGTCTCTTGACGGTTTGCCGCTAGACGGGCTTGATTACGAATCCATATTGGGACAGTGTTGCGAAATGCCGGTTGGTTATATCCAAATACCTGTGGGTATTGTTGGCCCGATGTTGTTGGATGGAGAGGAGTTTTGGGTTCCGATGGCGACCACTGAAGGGTGTCTTGTGGCTAGCACGAACCGGGGTTGTAAGGCCACTTACACCTCCGGTGGAGCCACCAGCATCTTACTCAAGGATGGCATGACTCGAGCGCCGGTGGTCAGGTTCGGCACCGCCAGAAGGGCGGCCGATTTGAAGTTCTTCTTGGAGGAACCACGAAACTTCGAGACTCTTGCCTCGGTTTTTAACAAGTAAGATACTTCTAGTTTCTAGATAACTATACTAGGGGCTTGTTTACCAACACAAGCTATGTAAGCATTGACTGGGTAAGAGTACGGTCGGGTTCGACAGTAATAACTGACCGAGCAAGAGACCATTCCTTAGCTTACCACATCAGCATCTCGTTCCGCATTTTGGACCCGTCCACGATGCTGATCTGGCAAGTTCAGGGAGGGACTCTTACTTGATTAGTGATTAGTGTTGACCAAGACTGCACGCTTACCTAGTTAGAGCTTACCCGATTTGTGTAGCGCTGATATGTTTTTGCAACTTCTACTAGTATGAGTTGATTAATTTCGGTCGGATACGATGATTTGAAGATCGAGCCGATTCGGGAGGCTTCAGAATATCCGATCTTCAATTGCAGGGAAGAATCTATACATAAGGTTCACTTGCAGCACCGGTGATGCAATGGGGATGAACATGGTTTCGAAAGGCGTTCAAAACGTTTTGGATCATCTCAAGGCCGACTTCCCCGACATGGACGTCATTGGCATCTCCGGCAATTATTGTTCCGATAAGAAACCGGCGGCCGTGAATTGGATAGAGGGAAGAGGCAAATCGGTGGTTTGCGAGGCAATCATAAATGAAGAAATCGTAAAGAATGTGTTGAAGACGGATATAGCTTCGTTGGTGGAGTTGAACATGCTCAAGAACTTGGCCGGATCCGCCATGGCTGGTGCTCTCGGTGGGTTCAACGCCCACGCCAGTAACATCGTGTCAGCGGTGTACCTTGCCACCGGCCAAGATCCGGCCCAGAACATCGAAAGCTCCCACTGCATCACCATGATGGAAGCGGTGAACGACGGCAAAGACCTTCATGCGTCGGTAACCATGCCGTCAATCGAGGTTGGGACCGTGGGTGGTGGAACTCAGTTGGCTTCACAAGCGGCATGCCTTAACTTGCTGGGAGTTAAGGGTGCAAACAAAGAATCGGCTGGATCAAATGCACGACGGTTGGCTAAGGTGGTCGCCGCCGCGGTTCTAGCCGGAGAGTTGTCTCTCATGGCAGCACTCACGGCAGGGCAACTCGTCAAGAGCCACATGAAATACAACCGCTACAGCAAAGATGTTACAGCTGCCAAATCTTAATTAACCTTCTCGATCTCGATCGATAAAAGGCTACGCAAACTGCAGATCGAGCAATTACTTTGTCTCGTCATTTAGTTGAATAAAACTCTAATAATTACACATTCTAAAAACCGTATGATTTTTGTTTGAGCCGTGGACGTTTATTACACGTGTACCAATCAAATTTGCATCTCGACATTTAATATGTAGTTATCCATTTATATAACCCAACTTCAATACTCAAACCGAATCCATCTCATGTAGGGGCGGATCCAACCTTTAAGCACTAGAGGAAAGACCTCCGATCAAAAACCAAAAACCAAAAACCTTTGTTGACTAACTTAAATTTTCTATTTTCACCCTCGTTTTACATTTTCCCCTAGACCCATGTGGCCATAAGAAATAAAACTCACAATTTCCCCAAGTCGAAGATGGTGATGGTGATGGTGATGGAGATAAGTTACGGTGTTGATAAACTTAACCGAAACCTGCATAGTCGATGCACGACCCCGTTGTAATTATAAAAAGTTCGAGTCCGATAAAAAATCGGACCAGTAGTATACAATCCAGTTAGGGAAAATCACCTAAATGATCGGAATACATAAAACAATTAACAAAATAACTATCTTTTTATGTATTTTCAAACACGACCGATATTTTCACTAAAACATTTTGGCGAATTTTTGATTGTGTTATAAATGAGTCCATATGTCATAAAAATTAAAAAAAAAAAACCCTACATTTAAGAGGTGTATGAAATTGCTTATTTAAAATAACTTATGTTTTTTTACAAAAGTGTTTATTAACATATTATAAGTTAGAACGATTTAACTTCTTCAAAAACTTCTTATTACTGGTTTGGCTCAGGTAAGTTGTTTATCCAAACATTCAAAAATATTTATTAATAATGTCATATCAAAATAAGTCAATAAATTATTTTTATAAGCAATCCTAAACAACCCAAAAAAACCATATTTTTTACCATTTTCAAGGGGGTTTTGGTGAATCGACGAGAACTATTGAGAAGTGGGTCCACTTACAAGTTTTAAAATGAAATCTTTTTTTAACTTTTTAAATCGTTAATTCCGAAACCCCTTGAAATTGACGAAAATTTTGGTTTTTCTAATTAGATGCATGTAATTTTTTTTTTCACTTTTTATGAAATATGCAACGTTAAGAGATCGTTTATTTAAACATTTACTCAGTAAATACTTATTTGTAAAATTCAATACTATCGTTTACTTATTGAGTAAGATTTTAATCCACCAAAACGACATTGCATTATAACAATCTACTCGATAAGTGCTAAGGCCGCCATCACTTATCGAGTAAGACTCTTACTCCTTGTCTTCGTTCTTAACGGGTAGGATTTTTGGTACGTATCATATTCATCCGGTAAGATAATATAATTTGGATGCGTTTACCCGAGTAAACATTTGATAAAAGCCACTAAATAATCTATACTACATTAATAAGCATTTAGACCTATATCTTAAGTACAAATTTTAAAGCATAGAGTACCATTATTTTATGCAAGAATTCAAAAATCTCTTAATTACAAAATGTTTTGCATAATGTACAAGTTGTTTATGCAACACCAAATCCTAATTGGGTCAAACTTGCTTTCTCTTTACATACTTCTAAAATTTCCACATTGAGCCGCTTTCTTCTTCTTATCTATACTACATTGATAAGCATTTAGACCAAAAGTCTTAATTACAAGTTTGAAAGTATAAAGTACTATCAATTTATGCAAGAGATTCAAAAATCTCTTAAGTACAAACTATTATGCATAATGTACAAATCTTTAAAACATACCATTTGTTTGATTAAAGTTTCAGATTTAAATAAACCATATTTACATAAAAGTATGTTTGGTCTTTCCAAAATTATTTGACACTTTGTTTGTTTTCTATTTTGAACCTAAATTCAAACTCAAAATTCTTCTTTCTCTTGAAGTAACTGAAATTTAAAACAACAATATCAGAAAGGTTTTAGATCCTGCATGTACCTCACTCCAACCCTTCAACTTTATATGGGTTTATAAACTCGGTAATTATTTTTCTAATCGATCTTACTAATTTACTATATTAATCTTTAATTTTATATATTAATTAATTTATAAAATAACCGTACAAAGTGATGATTCGAAATTAAACCGGCGTTCGTAAGATGATTCGTAGTTAGATCAATAGTGGGTACCACAATAAGATATGAAGAATATGTCTAATGTGGTTCAAATGCAAACACGATGATTCATCCACCATTGTTGTCCACAACCACCACCACCTCCACCTCCACCTCCAAAACATCAGCTTCTTCCCACTCTATTCCAAATATTTGTCGTAATTACACTTTTCAAATACAATGGAGGTCTATGGAGCTTCTGCTTTGGCTTCGATTAGCTCAATTTCTCCATCTCTTCACTCTTCTCATCAACCTACTTCGGTACCGTCTTCTTTAGTTATTGCGATTTGTGTTTTACGTTGTTGAAATTGATGTGTTAGGGTTAATTCGTTTGTTTTTCAGGTGTGTGGATTCAGAAGAGTTAGGGTTTGGTGTGTTAAAACCGACGTCAATGGCTCTTCTCAATCTCTTAAGGTGAGTTCAGTTTTGTTTCTTTAATTTCCTCCCAAATGTTCATGAAACGAATGTATTAAAAAAATGCGTCGATTTTCAAGTGTTCTGAAGAGAATCGAAGGAGATGATGCTTCAATTGAAGTGGTTGATTGAATTGTTAATGCACCAAGTCCTCTAAAATTAAAAGTATTAGATAGATGAGTGGACAAACAATTATGTTATACTCCCTCTTTCAAAAGTATGGAGCTATATGTTGACACTGAAATATCATTTGCAGGTTTAATGGTTGTGGATTCTTAACTTTTTCAGAAGTTTCTTGCATAAAATCGCAGAAAGTTCTTGTTATGCAAATGATGTTTTCCCTTTTCTGCAAAATTTCAAGCTAAAGGAATCTTTCACCCACAATAATCCTTGCAAAATATTACTCGTATTGATGTTTGTCCACAAGATTACCCTTTCATTATGGAGTGCTATTTTATAGATTTTACTTGGAATTGAAACTTTATCATGTGCTATGTATCTTGTCAAACATTACAATACCTTTTTGTGCCATGGATGGAGTATCTCTTATTTGAATTGGTGTAAGTTGGTAACCTTATTTATTTCTACATTGATTTCGGGAAATACTAGATTTTGACATAGAAGACAAATATGTGACCCATCCCCTTGCATGTGAAAAAGCTTTTTATTGATGTGTCTACCTAAGCCAAAGAAAGGGAAAATTGCGCATCTTGATTTAGTTTTCATTCTCTTGACATATCTTTCATAGAGTTGTACCGTCATATGAGCTTAATTAGTTAAGTTATAAGAGAAGAAATGCCGGCCTTAATGGAAAATAAATTGCCATTCAGTCCTCAGCAGTGTCACCACTGGTTGGGCTACTCAAATTATAAGGGGTTTATTCATAAGCAGGAAGGGTTTTTGGTTGCGATAATTTCACATTTAGTTACATTCAATGACAATCATGTGAGGCTTGAAAATAAATAAAGTTTGGGGCTGAAGGGAGTAGGGGGGAGGCTGACCCCCTCCCCCCAAAACAAAAAAAAACAAAAAAATTGCTGGCCAAATGCCTTTAAAGAAAATGAAGTAGACCACAACAGACTTCTCACCCACCCCCATCCCCCAACTTTATTATTCATTTATTTATTTATCAATAATCAATTGATGTAATGATGTTGTTTATTAATTATTTGTTTTGTTTATTGGTTAATTGAATGTGATTTTGTGAATGTTGATGTTCGGACTTGGGATGTTGTAATTCGTTTTGAAATGTTAACTGTAATTTCTTTTATTCCTTCTTTGTTCGTTGCTCTTCCAAATCATGAGCCTTTATTAAGTTGTTCGTATACAATATCTATTATTGTTATTTTACAACAAAGTATAACCCCGAAAGGGCGGACCCCCTAACTTCGATTCCTAGTTCCGCCCCCTGTATATTGCCCTGATTAAATAAAAAACCAGCCATAATTATATAAAACCATGGCCAGCTATTTTGACACAAACTTGGTTTTTGATGGTGGAAAACTCATCTACACTGGTGTTTGTCAGGGAAACCAGATGACAGTATCTATAACAGGGGCTACAGGTTTTATAGGGCAAAGATTGGTGCAAAGGCTCCATGAAGGTATAAATATTCCATCAAGCTACTCTCGTAACGATCAAGTTTGTTATCCACTATGTATCTAATCTGTCATAGGATGCAATGTTTTAATGGATCAGTTTAAGTATTTAACTGATGTTTTCTTTTATGTTATATACATATGGCCATCTATTCATACACTTAATAAAGAAAAGGAAAGTTCCAAACAAATCTCTTTCTAATTGATTACATGTCAAGTATTTTACATTTTAAGAGGGGAAATGGTTCAAAATATACACCATTTTCTACAACTTCTCCCACATAGAATTATGACTTTTGCCCAATGGAATGAGATCTTAGTGATGGAAGCCTGAAAATGTGTGGCATTGTTACAAAAAGATAGGGCAGGTCGGCTGACCAAGTTAAGCCCAACTGTTAGTAGTAAGTCAAAATCAAACATTTTAATATAGCTTAATCAATCAAGCTAAAAACCCATTAAGCTTATTAAGCCAAAATTAAACACCCTCTAAGTTTGTGATACGATTCTCAAATAGTTGTGCTAGCTTCAGCATCTTTAGAAGCATCACTTCAATCAAATAGAATCTGGCTTGAAGGTTGATTTTTTTCCTTTTATCTATGATTAATGATCATTAGTTAATACCCAATCAACCAAATTAGTGAGAGAGACTAAGGGGCCATTTACCAAACACTTACCTGGTATCTGGTAAGATTTTAGTCAACAAAAAACGGCATCGTATGCAACAATTTACCCGGTAAGCACTAACCGTGGTAAGAGTCGTCGCCCTCACTTACCGGGTAAGGCTCTTGGTCCTTGCCTCGCTCTTACTGGGTAAGATTCTTGGTCCTTACCATATTCATCCGGTAAGGTAATGTGACTTGGTAGGCACTTACCCGGGTAAGCGTTTGGTAAATGGCCCCTAATTATTGTTAATTGATTTGATTGTTTTGGATTTACGTTATTCCACTGATGAACTATTATTTCCATGTAGGCAATTATGATTTATGGCTATATAACATCTTGCCTTGTGTGTTGTGTCATCATTTGTTGTGGGTTTTTTCCTGTGCTCATACATATGGAGATGTTTAGAGATCTTCTCTTTTAAAAGCTTGTGGATCTTGTTGTAGTTTCTGTTACAAATGAAATCTCCATGAGTCCCAACAATGAATTAATGCTTTGGTGAGCGAGAACTGTTTGATTGTCTGAATGGTCTTGAACTTAAGCCCTAAATATGAGAGTTCCCAAAATACTATGATGAGATATTAATCGTTAGTGGTCCTGCAGAGTTTGGAAGTAAAAAAAAGTGAAATTAGCATCATAATGAACATATCTTGTGAACTACAATGAAGCTATGAATAAGATAATCTATATTAGGCTTAGTGGGTTAATACATTTCCTGAGTTTGCGATTGCTCTTACATAATAACCTTGTAATAGTTTTGATATGCTGTTTATGCCTTCAGTGTACCAGTGTGGCATGTTTCAACATCTTTTTAATATGCACCAATTTTTTTTTATTTTTTATTTTAGCTATGTTCAATCATGATATAAATCTAATTGAATCTTAATTGACTCCGGATTTGCAGATAACCATAGTATCTGTGTCTTGACTCGATCTAGATCTAAAGCGCAGTCCATTTTTCCGGGTAAGAAGGTAATGATTACTTGAGCTATGTATTATAAGAAACTGTTAAAGCTTTTCATGAAATCCCACTCATTCTGGAAAGTTCAACTTTGCATGAATAGTCGGTAACTCTGCCCTTTTTTGGACTACTGATTTTCATGTCCATTAGTTTCAGAATCTTTTACATTCTCCTACATAGCATGCACTTGTGTATCATTGATTTCTCTATTGTACTTGAAAAAAGTGAACGTCACACATTTTAAACGGAGTTTGTATTTTAACTTTGTGCTGATGTGGCAATTAAAAAAATGGGTGCTTGAGTTCACTAGCCATCCTACTTGGCACTTGGTTTCAAGATGATCATTATACTTGCAAAATCATAACAAAACTCTGTTGTTGAGAATATTCAACATTTTACCCAGAATTTAAAAAAATTCCGCATTACTTGCCTTGCAAAATAATAAATTTTGACCTTTTTTCTACATTGTACTTCAAGTCATAAAAGTTGGAACTATTTCTTACAATTTAGAACATTTCATGTTAATGAACATCTATTTGATAGAAAATGAGATATTTCCTGATAATCTAATAATTTTATTCCAATATATATAACTATTTAAGAAGTGAGTCAATCCTGAACTCGAATGTTATAAAATTAATATTTTCTATTAAATTTTAGAATTGCATTCTAATTGAAAAAGAGAAAATAGAATGGAGATGCTTTGAAAATGAAGAATTGTTACATGAAACAAGCCAACTAAGGTTTTGGTAGTAATTTCATTTGACAAAACCTATATTTGTAATGACTTGTACTTTAATCATTTTCAGCATATTTGTTCTTTCTTTCTTAACATAATTTCTATTTTAAGTATTTGATACATATTTTAATAGAATTATTTGATTATTAGAAGAATATCTAAAATATATTTAATAATAATAAAGAGTAAATTGGGTTTTCTTAATAAAAATGAGCATCAGTGTGCGTTCATATCCAGTAGGTTTCTTTTCTTATCTTTTTGCAAGTACAATATAACTTCGAAATCAAGTGCCAGCGACGATGTTATGGAAGTAGATTTAAATGCATTAACTCAAGATAAAAAGCTGTCCAAAGTTATGGAAGTTGATTTAAATGCATTAACTCAAGATAAAAAGCTGTCCAAAAAAGTTCACTTTCTTGAAGTACTATGTTCTTTCGGGGGTCTTTTCTTATCTTTTTGCAAGTACATAAAAAACTTTGAAATCAAGTGCCAGCGACGATGTTATGGAAGTTGATTTAAATGCATTAACTCAAGATAAAAAGCTGTCCAAAAAAGTTCACTTTCTTCGAGTACTATGTTCTTTGGGGGGTGTACGATTGTTGTTCTCAAAGCTAGTGCAAAGACAAGGTGAATAAGTCAATTACTCATATCTTTTGTGGGAAATTACAATATCACATTGTTTCTTGTTCATTCCTAGAAATCTTCCCTGACTTCATCCTCTTTTATTGCTTGTAGTCAAGGATTTTCCAGGCATTGTAATTGCCGAGGAACCCCAGTGGAAAGATTGCATTCAAGGGTCAACTGGTGTTGTAAACTTGGCTGGGTTGCCTATTAGTACAAGATGGTCCCCGGAGGTATGTAAACTGCTTAGTTATATTTTGATTTCTGATGTCTTTATAGTGGGCCACCATCAACATCATTTGTGGCTTTTAGACATGGTTGCTGCTTCACAGGTGCACATATTCATTTTGGTCAAGTTGGTGAGCAATTTGTAATAATTTATCATATAGTTCCATCATAATATCTATTTGAAAGTCGGAAGTTATTCACAAAAGATATTGTTTTGGTAGTTGGTGGTCAAAGTTTAATGGTTTAAAAGCTCACATTGTTGATAGTTTGAACAGCAGACCATAGTCAGCTACCACATGACTTTTAGAAACTAACTTCCTTTTGTCACGTGGAAGTCAGGTTTATAATTACCTCGAGAGGGTTTGATGTGGTGAACAAACAACATTAGGGTTGAAAGTGTATAGAGAAAAAATAGAATTTATTTTCAGATATTTTGTTTGTACAATGGCCAATAATTCCTACTTATAAGTACAAAGGAGTTTGGTACTCAGTACACTCTGTATAAAAGATAATGAATCAATCTCCATAAAATTGACTATGTTTTAAGCTAAACATGACCTCTTTTCTCCATATATTCGTATTTACTCCCTCTTTCTGGGAACAGGACCCATTGTATGTTTTTTCTTTGTCCCAATGATAGTCGTATCTCAAAATTAACATTAAGGTAATTTCATGTTCTTAAGTTACCCTTCATTTCTTATAGTTGGTAAAACATCATTTCATTAATTTTTATGTGATTAAATGCAAAGTTTTCTTTTCATTTGTGATGACATATAAATGGTTTCGCCTTTTCCCTGTAGAGAAAGTGTCTTAAAATGTCCGATATGCCTATGGGAATGTAGTAAGTTGACACATTGTCAGACTTGCTTCCGTACATCAATTAATTTACTATGTGCTACTGCAGATCAAGAAAGAGATCAAGCAAAGCAGGATCAGAGTCACCTCAAAGGTTAGATTTTGGTTTACATAAAAGAAGTCCACATAAAAGAAATAAGAGTTATCTCGATTTGAGTTGACCACTTAACATTTTTAATTTGTGGGTCCATGTATTTGATACTGAGAGAATGTGATTATGGGTCCCATGATACGAGGAGAGATGAAGATGGGACCCACAAAATGGAGAATGGGGAAGATGGTGTAAACGAATGAGCATTACATTTTCATCTTCTGTTTGACGATTTTTTCACTGACATGAAGGTTGTTGACTTGATAAATAACTCCCCAAGTGATGCAAGACCTACAGTTTTGGTTAGTGCAACAGCAGTGGGCTATTACGGTAAGGGCTTGATAGAATATTTTTTTTGTAGTTTATCTTGTAAAAGAGTTGGTATGCTTTTCTGGCATCATCCAATTATAAATCCAAACTAAGAATAATGTCTTGCCCTTGCTTTCTTAATGAACTGTTGTATAATTTATTAGACTTGAGCATTTTTGCTTGAATATAAAGAAGTTACTATTTTTGTCAAAGTCAGTGTGGTGTGTGTGTGCGTGTGCTTGTGCATGTGTTACCATGTTACTTCCTCCGTCCCAAAATAGGTGTTTGCATTTCTATTATAATGTGTCCCAAAATAAGTGCCTACTTTCAAACATATGTGCCTACTTTCCAATTCTACCCGTAATTATGAGATGGAGAAATTCATTACTCCCTCTATTATTAAGGGTAAAATTGTCATTTATCAATTAATAAGCGTAATATTATACGTTTCTAAGACTCTTGCCTTTTTCATTCTGAACATTTATTTTGGGACTAAGGGAGTAAAAAATGAGGTTAATGAGTGGGAATAAGCTGTTGTGCATTATTCATGTTTAATTATTTTTTTGACTCAGGTACTAGTGAAACTCAAGTGTTTGATGAACGAAGCCCTTCTGGGAATGATTATCTAGCTGAGGTTAAAAAAGGGACCCTTTTAATTCGGATGTTAGCAAAAAATTGACGGGTTCTAATGGATTTGTACTAGTAGTGATTGTTTACCTAAGTAGTTAGTAACTAGATGTTATGTATCATCAGGTTTGCAGAGAATGGGAAGGTACAGCACTTGGAGTTGATAAGGATGTTAGGCTCTCCCTTATTCGTATCGGCGTGGTTCTCGGCAAAGATGGTGGTGCTTTAGGTTTGTTACATGATGTGAATCACTTTCTGTTTGCTTTTTGCAAGCCGGGGGTCTTCTCGAAACGAGTCTCTCTGTCTCTTGGGACAGAGGTAACGTCTGCATACATCTTACCCCCAGGCCCTACCTCCTGGTGGGATATATTGGTTTGTTTTGTTTGGTTTACTTTCCACGGTTCACATTGAAGAACTCTTGAGAATAAATCCAAAAAGAACATCCTTGTTAATAACCATTCAAATTCAAGAAAAAAACAAGGAGGGGAAGAACACCCTGTGCCTGTAATGAAGATATGCATTATGAATATGATGAGTTGATTGATTCGTAAACACTCGTTCTTGGGACTTTGCAGCTAAAATGATTCCCATCTTCATGATGTTTGCTGGAGGACCATTGGGCTCTGGAAAACAATGGTATGGTATTTAACTTCTGTGTATCCATGAGTATTGTTAGATGGTTAAAATTGCATTAGGATTTGATTCCACACTTTTCATAAAATTTATACTCCCTCCATCCCAAATAAGTGTCTACATTACTATTTTAGTTTGTCCCAAAATAAGTGTCCACTTTCAAGAGTAATGTCTACTTTCCCATTTTGCCCTTGATTGTGAGATGGAGAAAATTTCTCTCTCTATAATTAAAGGGTAAAATTGTCTTTTTGTTAATTAAAAAGTGTAATAATTATACTTTCCTAATATTGTGTGCCCTTCCATTGTGGATATTTATTTTGGGACGATGTGACGAAGGAAACAATTAATCGTATACTCCCCCCCTCCCCAAAATAGGTGTCCCAAAGTAAGTGTACACTTTCTTATTCTACCCTTAAGTATGAGATGGAGAAATTCATTACTCTGTGTTATTAAGAGTAAAATTGTTTTTTAATTAATTAAAAAGTGTAATAATTACATATTTCTAGAACTTTTTGCATTGTGGATGGGGTGAGTAATTGTTTTGATTATGTTTTATGCAATTATAAATCTTGGTTTCTTGATCAAAGAACTTGATGTTGCATAGAGCTAAGATGGTAGAGATGCAAAAATATGATTGCATTAAAAACAATGAAGTTTGGTTTAACATTTTTCTGTCTTGAAATGTTGTAGGTTTTCCTGGATTCATGTGGATGACTTGGTGAATCTTTTATGTGAAGCATTATCAAATCCATCTTATAAAGGTGAATATTCCCTCAAATACTATGTTTGGCTAACTAGCTGATAAACTATATGACAAAACAAACCCACCTAAAAGGAGATGTTGAAAATTTAATTGGAAATGTATAAGGGGTATAATTGGAAAATGCTACTTGAAGTAGCTTTTCAAAAAACTAGCTTATAAGCTGGTTTATAGCTAACCAAACGGGTTCTTTTAATAATATGAAACATTATATTTATCATATTCATAAAATGTGGAGAATGTGGGTTGTTTTATGGTATGGGGGTGGGATGTACGCAGTCCTGAACTCTATCCCAAATACCCCAAAAAGTAGAGCAGTTGTTTCTGTGGTTTTTTTTTAATGAAAAATTGACATAATAAATATGGAATACGTGGGTTCGGCTTTGATTTTTATCATCATCAATGTGTTGACCTCGAATACAATGTCAGGAGTTATCAACGGAACCGCACCAAACCCTGTTCGTCTAGCGGAGATGTGCGAACACCTGGGATCCGCCTTGGGCCGACCCTCATGGCTACCAGTGCCTGACTTAGCTCTCAAAGCAGTCCTTGGAGAAGGTGCTATAGTGGTAAGCATTTCACTACATTCTTCTTCCCCACGATATGCATTCCTAGGTTGTACTGTACAACCCAAACAGTCACCTGTAACTACCCTATGATATGTTTATGTTGGAGTCCATATCGGCTAGACTTGGATCTTATCTCCTCAATATATGTCGGAACCTCCCTTTTCTCCTCACGGGCTCTTTTGGAGAGTAATCTAATGGGTACCACATATTTCCACATGGTATGAGACCCAAAATCTACCAATCTAAGGACTCGACACTCTGGGATAATTTGTGCTTGTCTAGCCTCTGTTGAAGGGGGCATGTTGTCCAGAATATACGTTGGAACCTCCTCTCACTGTCTCTCTCAATGGCTCTTTTTGAGAGTAATTTAATGGGGTTGCACATATTCTCACATGGTATCAAAGCCAAAATTTACCACCCTAGAGACTCAACACTCTAGGACAATTTGTGCTCGTTTAGCCTCTATTGAAGCCGGCGTGTTGTCCACAATAATGTTGGAACCTCCATTCTCTCAAGGGCTTCTTTGGAGAGTAACCTAATAGGGTTTCACATATTCTCACATGGTATCAGAGCTGAAAAGTCTACCAATCTAGGGACTCAACACTCTACGACAATATGTGCTCATCTAGCCTCCGTCGAAGATCGCATGTTGTCCATTTTCTATACGTTGGAACTACTCTCCACTCGTCAATGACCTTTTTGGAAAGTAATCTATCGAGTTTCATATATTCTAATAGTTTTCAACGGGGTTTTGAACAGGTTTTGGAAGGACAAAGGGTGGTTCCTGTTAGGGCCAAAGAGTTGGGGTTCTCATACAAATATCCGTTTATCAAAGAAGCGTTGAAAGCCATTTTAGCCCAAAAAGTTGTAGTTTGAGATCGATATATCATCACCACATTTTTTATTGTTTCGGTGCCAATGCTACTCCATCTTCTTGCGTGGTGAGAAAACCTGATAAAACAAAAAGAGGTTTAACAGTAAATACGCACAATACGCAGCATCTTTGTCCGTATAATTGAAGGGTTCTTTTTGTATATTTATTTGGATTAGAAAAGTTACGTTTGTTCCAGAGGAAAACATAAAGATGTTGCAATTTTTTCCGAAAGATAAGTCGGATGTGATGTAACAAGATTATGATCCTCGTTACAAAACTCTTTCCGGACACTGAGGTTTGAACTTTTGACCTCAAGAAAGGTGGTTGTACCAATAAAGTGCAAATTGTGTCGGTAATCTTGTTGACATGATGCTACTACAAGTAATCGTATGGCGAATCTCTCATCATAACATGTTCCTTGTCGTGTTATTTACATGGACGTTAATGTATTTTTGGATCATTTACTATGTGTCGATAAACCATCGTATCAAATACAATCGTTGGTCGAGTTCTCTCTTTTAGAACTTCACAAGTTACATTCCACTTTTGAAGGATGATTTGAGGTGGGGAGTTTGGAATAGATCATTGTTAGAGCAACTCCAATGGTAGGTATATCAAGTATCAAGAAAATAGTGGTGATTTTAATGGGAGAGGGAATTCCGTTAGGAACCTAAAATTGATTAGGAACCTGAAAACTGTCGAATGCACGAAACGTGTCCTTCAGGATGAATATTCATCATGAATCACACTTTCATGACGTTATGGACGTGTTATTCATCATGAATCACACATTTATGACGAATGTGGACGTTTTATTCATCATGAATCACACATTCATGATGAATATGGACGTGTTATTTATCATGAATCATACATTCATGATGAATAGGTTACAACATTCATGATAAATAACTCGTCCATATTCCACTAAGTTATTGGAATAACTTTTTACCATTGCAGAAAAAGGTAATTAAAAAACTTCTATGAAAAGGTTAAGACTTCCACAATCGGTTATTACCATCAGATCAATTTATATATACGTGTAAAAAAATTAATTATTAAATACAAAAAGCTTTTGAAAAAGGTTGGTTGCATTGGAGATCGTTTTTAAAGATGGGTTTTTGGTAGATAGATTCAGTGGAAAGATGATTTCGCAAAAGTAAAAAGTCTTTAATAGGTCATGTAGTGTCGATGCTCTTAGTTTTGACTTTTGTTGTTGTACTTGTAATTGTCAATATTGCATTTGATGGATTTTATCATACATGTTGCTTGTTTATGTACACTTTCACCTGTAACATACTCGTTTTTTTATTTTTATTTTTTCATTTTATAAGACAAAGGTTTTCATGAAAATGATCTTATATATATATATATATATATATATATGGAAATTTATAAAAATAACCGGTTTACACAACCCTTTGCCATAAAATAACCACATTTTAGAGGTTTTACCAGAATGACCATACGGGGGCGATCCGTACACTATGGGGGCGAACCCCCCTTAAGTCTTAAAAAAAAATTACTCTCAAAAGTCGAGATTACTGTTCATTCATCGTTGACCGTGTTTTGACCTCGCCCCCGGGGCGATCCGTACTGTATGGGGGGCGATCCGAGTAAAAAAAATTGATTTTTTTTCTAATACTAATTTCACTATAAATACCAACTTCCTACTTCATAATTTTTCACACCTTTCCTTCCATTTCTCTTCTCATATATTTTACTCTCACAACCCTTAACCCATTAAACACAATAAACCATCACAACCTTTAACCCACTAAACACAATCAACCATCACAAAACATGAAATCACGTCAAAGTGATAATGTTYGTGTGTATCTTCGAAGTGGCGGTTTATTCCAAGATATAAATGGTGTTTTAGAGTACCTTCCGAGGTCAAACGCACGGTCAACAAGGAATAAACAGTAAATTTTTTTTAAGACTTAAGGGGGGATCGCCCCCATAGTGTACGGATCACCCCCGGGGGCGATCCGTGTGGTCATTCCGGTAAAACCTCTAAAATGTGGTTATTTCGTGGCAAAGGGTTGTATAAACCGGTTATTTTTATAAATTCCCCATATATATATATATATATATATATATTCTACCCCTTGACGAATTTACTAGGTTGGTCTGTTTACTTGTACTTTGAATAGTATCAGTGGCGGACCCAAAAAATTTTACTGAGCGGATGCACCTTTAAATGTCCATAAAGTTGATCGATGTGTTTTTAATCGAATTCCATCTTTGGGGGGTTTTTTTAAAGTTTTTTGGTTGATTTCGAGGGATTTTTTAAGTTTTTGATTGATTTCGAGAGATTTTTTTGGTTTTTTTCGAGAGAATTTTTCGATTTCTTTTTATTGATTTCAGCATATGTGCACCTTTAACCTTCAAAGACACTAATATCTCGTAGCACACCCCAAACTTTAGCGGGTGCACCTTACGTAACCAAAAAAAATTCCTACTTACAAATTAAGGTTGAGTGGTTGCACAGGACCTCAATCCCGTCAAGGTAGGTTCGTCCTGAATAGTATAATTTTTTTTAATTTATCACTAAATATAATAAAGAAAAAAATGTATAGGAAGGGTACGTATCCACCTATAATGAATTTCATACGTAGATATGATAAAATCGAATCGAGGAAAATGAGTACAATATGTAGCACATCTCGTCATTGAAATGAAACAAGATACGGTTGACCTACAATCGGTTCGATGCTTATTTGCGAAAAACGGTTCAACCAACATTAAAATAAAATCTAGAATGTCAAAAGTCTTTTAGGGGTCGTTTACCTGAACATTTATCCGATAAACATTTAATTGTAAAATTCAATGTTATCGTTTATTTACTGGGTAAGATTTTAGTCTACTAAAACGACATTGTATGTAACAACTTACCCGGTAAGAATTGTCGTCATCACTTACAGGGTAAGACTCTCGATTCATGACTTCGCTGTTACTTACCAGATAAAATTCTTGGTTCTTACCATATTTATCTGATAAGGTAATGTGACTTGGTAAACGTTTACCCGACTTAAAATTCAAATTACTTGGAATAAGATATTTGAAACAAAATGGCTACCAAATGACGAATAGCCTCCCCAGAGACGTTCCAATCTTTTTGGAGGTCATGCTACATCCAAAACTTTTGATTACATTGCATAAATGAGATGACAAAAAATATATGTTAAAAATAAAAATGGACTAAACCTAAAACAATTAACAATCTGAAACTAAACCTAAATCATTAATGATTTGAACCTAAAACCAAATAATTAATGGTTTGAACCTAAATAATTTCTGCTATAATTTTACATATGTCGATAAAAAGATCCAACATGTAAATTTGAGCCCCAAAATTTCGAAGACCCTGTTTCAATTCTCACATTTAACATGCTAAGCGACGGACTGAGACTCCCACAATCGCATGATGTTGGAAGAGAAAAAACACATTGAAATATCCAACAACAACCGTAAGCACGTGATACGCAAGCGATTGATGCATATGTGCAGAGCTAGAAATTTAAAGAAAACGTGACGCTCATTGGTCAACAAGCCGGTTAAACCAATCCTTACCATTTACACATTTTTTTTAAATTGGTAATTGTCATAACCGGTTTTTATCCATCAATAAGGGTTGTTTACTTGCGGTTTAATTAGGCTTATTGGTCTTTCTGGCTTATTTGCACAACTCATTTGGGTTGTTTACTTACGGCTTATTCGCACAGAACATGGCTTAATTGCACAGATAGAAATGATGTGTTGCCCCTATTCAGTCACAAAAATGACACATCTACCCCTTATTTAAAACATCGTCTCATTCCCAAATGAGACACCCCATCGTCAACCTCTTTATGATTTTTTTTGTTTTGATGTTCAAATAATTAATATTGGAGGTAGATCGGTCATTTATGTTATTCAGACTGTTGGTTCAGTTAAAAAAAAAGTAAACAGCAACACTCATTTATTCAGACAGACAAATTTATCCGCAAAAAAAAAAATTATCCACACAAGACTTAATAAAAAATTTGGTAAACAACCCTTAATTCTTACAACTTTGCTGATTTTAGACCGATATCCAAGGTATGGTGTGGTTGACAAGGGTGTTAAAAAAAATGGGAAAACCAAAATTGAGAAAACGGATAACCAAAAGATACGGAAAGAAAGAAAAAAGCAAAAAAACCTGATATTCATGGGCCGGTTTCGGTTTTGAATTTTAGATACCCGTGGGTGCCAAACTGGATATAATGTATATATAATATAGAATATTTAACATTAAAGATTTATATATTTATTAACTCAAAGTTAAATAAGTAATTTTTTTACGTTTTCGTGTTAATCATTTCAGTGTATGAATAAATTCGGTGGTACGAATTATGAAAGCATGAAATAGTAGACATTAACCGTATAATGGATGTTTTTAAACAATTAAACTTATTTTAATTTGTAACGGGCTTTGATTATTTTTATTTATTTGTCATGTAATTGTTTTAAATATAATATTTCCGTACCATTTTTATATTTTAAAGATATTCTTTTATAAATTCAGGTAACCGTGAACCGAATCACAGGTAACCACCTTACTTCAGTTCGGTGCAACCTAGGGTTCGATTTTTGTTCAGGTACTGCATCATGTCCGGGTCTTAAGAACCTGCTACATAACCAGTTATAACGATTACGATTTTATTAGAAAGACCGTGTACGATTAGGACCAATTGTGAAATGAACGATAAAGTCAGGTCCTATGCCGAAGGACTAAACCATCTGCTTTCAATTATTCAACCACTAAGGGGTGTTTACGATTTGTTTCAGTTTGGTTAGTACATAAAATGTTAACATTTGTTAAAAAAATTACTATAATGTGTTTCAAATAAACATGTTCTTTAAACATTTACAATATATTTTATGTAAAGTTTCTTTTTTTTTTTTAAATTAGTTTTATTCCAATCAAAAATCGTATTTGGTAAATCACTAAAACACAAAGAAATCAACCACAAGGGTGGTGTCTGATTGGTTTGAGCTTGGCTCCAAAGGTCAAAAGTACCAGGACGCCTCAGGTTCAAATCCAAGAAAGAATAAAAATCCCTAAAAAAGCCTGATTTGAAAAAGTCTGATCAGACCCTTTTCAACCTCAAAGTCGGGCCCTTCTTTTGCTCATTGAAAACAGGCTTGGAAGGCCCAGTTGTGCATCTCTAGTGATGAGGGCCTCAAGTTTTTGGTGCGATATCCCGAGAACAAAGATAGTTCAATTTTACTAAAATAGTTTCATTAACAGTATCACAGTTGAAACCTTCAAGCAGTCTCGGTGAAAAGAAATTGTTATTTTGTTGAGACGGTAATGTAAATAGCGAAGGTGAAAAGGACAACGAAGGATCTCAGGTATTGTATCTTGAAAAACAACAATGAAACGCATTACAACATGAAAGCAGTGAAGGGCGGGATGAAAACTCCAATGGGTTGCCCGTTAAAGGTGGTCAGCAACAAGATTGGCATAAACCCTAAGCCCTAAACCCTAAGCGGTAGAATATGGCTTACCGAAGGACATGAGTTAATGATTTGCTAATGAAACGAGTGTTGAATGGGTTGTGAAGCAGATGGGTGTTGAACATGAAAACACAAAGGAACCCTAAGAAAAAAAACCTACATGATCGATATACATATATATATGCACGAAAAATCATTCGGACGTTGAAAAGAACATTTATAAGTCGACAACTTACGGTTGGACCCTAAAACCAGAGATTAAGGGGTAAACTTGACTAATCATTTACTTTAATTTAAAACTAATTTTCATTACAAGTTAAAGCCATCAAACGTTTGAGGAAAGTCGATAAACAATTATCCCCTGAGCGAGTATTTCTTACCTGTGAAGGGTTGGAACTTTGGTTCTTCCTTCGAGGGTGCCTCTGGTTTCGTCTCTTTACCAACTTCCTGCAAATTAAGAAGAATCGTTACGAGTTTAAGAGTCAACTGACAACGTGAAATGGGTATCATCAAGTCAAACCAAACAAGCTCGGTATATCCCACTCGGAGGTGGGGCCTGGGAGGGTCGGTAATAATTAGAATTTCCATTCAACTGTATGCCAAGTTATGAGACCATTTTTTCAAAAAAAAAATGAAAAATGAAAAGAAGTTACAAGACCATTGGCAACTATATCAAGTATCAAGAAAATATTTGTGATTTTAATGGGAGAGGGAATTCCGTTAGGGACCTAAAATTGATTAGGAACCCGAAAACTGCCGAATGCACGAAACATGTCCCTCTTCAGGATGAATATTCATCATGAATCACACATTCATGACAATTATGGACGTGTTATTCATCATGAATCACACATTCATGACCATTATGGACGTGTTATTCATCATGAATGTTATAACCTATTCATCAATGTGTGATTCATGATGAATAACATGTCCATATTCATGATGAATATGCCACGTGTCGTGCTGGAATGGAGAGAGTATATAACAATAGAATTGAAGTTGGGAGACCGTTGGCAATTTTATTGATATGTGGAGGAGCTAGGAATGATGATACACTTTCAGAACTCTAATAATATACACAAGTTTTATGCAATTTAATATGGAAGGGATACCAAATACCTTTTGCTTTTGAGGGGCTGCACGCTGGTTGTTGGCATTAGAACCGAACACAAGTTTTCCCTGAGATTGGCGAGATTTACTTTGTGAACTAGAACCAGTAGATGGCTGCTGCCCGCTGCTGCCAGAAACAGCAGGTTGCTTTCCTTTGGATCCAGAAGGAGATGAAACAGGCGGTGGCTGGTACTTCAAAGGTTTACCATCCAGCCTTCTTCCCGATCCTGTAAATGGGTTAAATTTCGGTTCCTCAACTGGAGCTGCTTTGTCTACATGGACACAAATGAAAACAAAAAGAACGGGCAATGCTCAATCAATCACCAGGGATAAAAATGTTGATGAATCAAAAAATCAGATGTACAAAAAAAAGGATGATGATTGTGAAGTTCTGCGTTCTAGAAACAAGTATGAAGGTTCATTTGTTCTATAATTGTGGTATCCGACCTTTCAAACTAAGTCAACAGGGTTCCGGTGAGAATGGAAGTTATGGTGAGAAGGTAAGAAGGGATCTCCACCCTTGGATCAATTCTAATTGAAGATCAACACTAATGAGGCACTGTATCAATTCCTGTGAGAAGCACAATTCATGGGGTGGGGGTGAGATTAAAAGTGATCAAGGGTCTAGATCCCTTCTTACGCTTCTCACCTTAACTCCTATTCTCACACGATCCTTCGTCACATAATCAAAACCTCCCGAATCATGAGGCAATAGATGACTAGGCGATTACCGCTGAGCCAACCCAAACATTGATAACCAACCAAATAAAAGCAAACAGGTTTGATATCAAGCGATCAGTCATGAAAAGAACAGTAATTCTCTGTCGTGATAATTAGGGGGTGTAAGCTAGTCGAGCTTTTAACGAGCTACTCAAGCTTGTTTATCTCAAGCTTGAGCTTAACAATTATCGAGCTCAAGTGGATCTCGGACAAAAAATAAAGCTCACTTAACTTAACGAGTCGAGCTCCATAACACCAACGTTCGAATCGACTCATTCAAAAGCTCGATTAAACTTTACGAGTCGAGTCAAGCAAAGCCATTCAAGCATACATTTTTTTGAGCCAAACATATTTATATGTTTACAAATTATATAATCAAAATATAAAAATCATCGAGCTTTAGTAAATAAATAAGTTAATCGATCTCGAATTCAAGCTCGTAAACGAGCATCGAGCTCAAACATTGAAAAAAAATCCGAGCCCAACTTTGAAAAAGTTAATCGGGCTCAAGTTGAGCTCAAGCCTGATATTACTTTTTCGAGCCTAACTTGAATAATCTGCTACTCGACTCGACACGGCTCATTTACACCCCTATTGATATTAGGGAAGATATCAATATGATTGTTTATAGAGTAAAAAATGCAAATCAATCCAGACCTAATTAAATTGTAGTAACAGAAAGTCATGATGAGAAAAAAGTGTAACATCATCAGAGAAAATAAAACCAAAAAAATAAAAAATGAAATTGACCTGAAACATGCTAAAAACAGATTTATACCTTCCGTGGCTGCCTTGCTTGAAGGAATAGACGATACAGGCCTCTCTGGTTCCTTATAATCAAGAGGAGGAGCAAAGTCTACCTCACAATCAGTTTCAATGATGCTTATCGCACTGGAAGGCTTCGATTCAATGATATCTATGTAGTATTTCTTGTTGTTATAAGCCACCATAATGCTATCTCCTGTGGTCAAACAAGAAAAGTTCCTCAGTGTTGTCTCTAAGCTGCATGGAAAACACAGAAAAATATTAGAAGGTTGAGTTGCAAAAATGCAAATTAATATGCAATACATAGTAGACCATGGACCATTTTCACGACTTACATTGCTTTTGGATTGGAAATATTCAAAAAGTCTGTTGTGTGTGGTTGCAACTTAACATATGTACCCTTCGGAAGGGTCACGTTCTTTACTCTCACAACGTCCCCCTCTTGTAAAAGCAGATTTTCCATCATCTGTGTGGAGAAAATAGATACATACATACGCATACGGATTAAAGGTCTATATAACCTAAGCACAAAAAAGGCAAAAAGGAAAACCAAAAAGTAGAAGGAATTTGAGATATTTATACCCAATAAGGCATGTATATCAAGCCTTCTTCTGCGATGAATTCTAGAACACCACAATGTGACAATCTATCGGTAGAAGCATTGCGTAGCTCGAACAACATTGGATAATCAATGTGGAGGGAAGCTGCAGCATAAAAGCTTGTCCATCATTGTTTTACACAGATTTAATTTCAAACTGCTAGCTAGTGGGTAGGGGTACTAGCACAAGAAGATAAAATCTATTCTTAAGGAAATCTAATTTATCAACCAACCGAGGCGATCAAGTGCAGAAGGAGGCATTATAACTGGAAAGGAAACAAATAAAAGTATCAGTAATTGCAAGGCAAACTCAAAATGCAGAACATACAAGCATTAAATATAAAAAACACTCACTTTTGTCACCATTTTCTATATGGGGCTGAAACAAATAAAAACATAGAAGGGTTAGAAATAATAATGAGAATTCCAATCAAACATGACATCAAGTGATAGTAGTAAAATATGTACTTCCTCTATTCCTAAATAACTGTCCACCTTGACTTGGAAATTTTACAATCAAAGAACAATTTGGGGAATAAGTGAACAACACATTTAGGATGTTGCTTACTTAATCTAGTTACTATTCATCCGACTAGCCTTTAGCTTTTAAAGTCCTTCAAGGGTAGATTTGACAGATCAAATATTTACTTGGCAACACTTGCCTTTTTATGTTACATTTCTTGTAGTGTTTGATGTTCTAATTTATGTTTGATAATCAAATCAGAATGTGGACAAAGGGTAACAGGGGGGGCAAAACGTTAAAACAATGAGCGCAGAAAATAGAAATCGTGTTTTGTTGGATCTGAAACCTCAACCACATTAAAGCCAAGCAGTCATTGTGCATTCATTTATAAACCCACTTTTAGCCATGAAATCATCAATCAAGCTTACAAATTTATAACTAGTGTTTACAATATTTTGTCAACCAATCACGGTTTTCTAAACACAGTTGTTCAACATCATTATTTGGTCCGATCTACACTATAAAGAAGTAAAAGAAAAAATGTGAATGTTGCCAAATAATGGCTTATTCTGAGCCAAGTCAATTGTATAGTATAAATTAAAGGGAGCAAGTGCTAGTCCACATATACAAGTAATAAATTCAATACACATTAATAAAGCTTCCCAACCTTGTCAATAAAAGATGCAGGGTAGCACCGATATGTTTGCTCAAAGGATATTCCATGATATCCATAATTGAAATACTGCATTTCACAAGCAAAGAATGAATATGAACATAACAAAGTTAATATTAGTAACTACTAGCAAACAGAAAACATAAAACCATATAATGCACGTAAAACAGAAAAGAAAAAAAAAAGAGGCAGCAAAAAACAATAAGAAATAGAAATTAAAAGCATATCTACTACTAGAGGAATCATAATCAAAAGATGGAGCATATATGTTGGTGCAAGTGTACCGAATGCATTTTCTATTTATTTACTACACTATATTTTGACGATCAACAAACAAAAACCCGATGTGTTTTGAAAAGTAATCATTTCATTGCACTTTGTAAAATGATTATTATAATTGCACCAAAAATACGATATCAAGTTGTATTTCGTAAAGCATGCATAGATCATCTCGTCATGTTTGATCTCTCTTTCTTACTCTCTTATTTTCCGCATATCTGTGTTTGTACTTGTGTTATTCAAACAAACAAATATGTCAAGAGAGAAAATTATGCATGCACACCCCTCATTCAACACATGGTTTCTATTTAAAGCCGAATTTGATATTTCACAAAAGTGAAAATTGCTGGGATACAACACATGTTTCTATTTGCTTTATTTGTTAACCCCTCATTCTGAAAAGAGAGATCCACTTACACTTTGAGCTTTCAATTTAACCCATTTGACCTCCAAACCAAAATGTAACTTATTATCTCAATAATTGGAATGCTAAAAATCAGTATATTCATAATTTTTGTACGTATTTGAAGTCTAGAGTTAGTCGAATTGACCTCAAAACTAAACTATGCATCTCTACCCCACCCCCAACACACACCAAGATATTGACATGGAAAAACTGCTACAACTATTTAGCATCAGAAGTAGCATAAACAACTAACAACAAGATCATGAGATACATACCATATTTTACTCCTTTTACCGCCCGAATCCAGCAACCTAAGTCCAAACGCAATCAGTAATTAGAGCAACACACATAAAACACAAACTACAAAATCATAAAGCCGAAACCAGATATAGTGATGGAATGTTTCAAAACAAATCGAACGCATAGCTAATGATCGAAGTAATTCAATTCATAATTGAAGATAATCAACACCTAAACTAAGATAATAGAACAAAATCAACGATCAACTACAAAATGTAATTGAAATTAGGGGTAAAAAAGAGTATTACCGATTGATGAAATGGTAGAAATTTCGGATTCTTTGCGGGAGATTTGGATTTGGAAAGCACAAAAAAGGTTGGGAAGGGGGGAAATCGACGTTGCAGTTGGATTGAAATAGGTTTTGGGGGAAGACAAGAAAGGCTAACGTGCGCCTCTGGGTTGTGTGCACGCAAACTTTCTGAACTCCCCTCCTTTCGGAATAACCATCTTTGGTGGCTTAAAATTTAATTTTTATTTCATTTTGATAAATAAAATATTAGCTTTTTGGTTGGCTTAATACATCAAGTCAGGGGTGCTTATACATTGGGTTGATCGGATTGAAGACATTTAAACAACTTAATTTAATGTTTACGATTTGGAAAAATCGTAACCCAACCCAACCCGTACGAATTGGTTGGGTTAGTCGAGTTGGTCGGGTTGATAGTTTGGTATATTAAAATATTCTTCTAACCTCGAATATGTTATTTCTCTATTCATAATTTCTTTTTTATCATCAACCATTTGATATAACTTATCCATACTTCTTATGTATTCACATTTAGTTAATTTTCTCAATTTACATATATATATGTTCACCGTTACTGAACATATATATAAATGAGTTATATAGATATGCGAATAGATTGAAAACATGTGTATATGAAGAGCATACATGATAGTTTTATTATCTAATGTATATAGAAATTCAATAATCATATTAAATCCAAGAAATAAAATGATATCGGGTTCATCGGGTTGGGTTTGGGTTCAAATAATAGTAACATAATATCAACCAAATACCTACGGTTTGACAATTTTACAACTCTATTAAACATCGGGTTGCTTCGGGTTGAATTATTTCGCGTTGGGTTGGTCGGATTTTTTAACACCCCTACATCCAGCCATGGATCTGTTTTGGAATCAGACTTTTTGTAGCTTGGAGATCAATATTTGAAAGCAAAAATAGTTGATGGACTTCTAATTTTAATTTTAATTTATTTAGTTAGTTTTTTGTACTTTAATGTTGACTTTAGTTTAGCTTAGAGACCAAGTTTGAGCAGAAGTTAACCAAAGGGTCTTTGGCCTAGCGGTATCGTAGCCCTTGCCTTCCTAGGAGGTCAAGGGTTCAAACCTCATCAAAGGTGAGGAGGGTATGTGAGTTTATTTGTTGCATTTGCCGTATATAAATATTATATACTTCAAAAAAAAATTGAGCAGAAGTTTCACTTTGTCCCTTTCTAACTTAGTATAAATAAGAGGTATGGTTTTGTGTTCAGGTGTGGAGAAATCCAATCAGATGTAATTTGATTGTGATTTACGGTTTGAAGTATTTAAAGTTTTTTTTTTAATATATAAATTCTGGTATTTTCTTGAATCTTGTTATACATTCTTCATTGCTTCTTTATATTTTCTCGCTTACCGTCTTTAATCTATTACGCTTTCTGCTCTTTAATTTTCATTATTTACTTCGATGTCTTTACTTTATGTCCTTTACATTTCCTTGCAATTTATGTCTGTTATGAGTAGCTAAATCTCTTAGCTTGGGTGTAAGACAGAAAATGTGGGTTTGTAAATTAAAATACATCATATCCTTTTACATAACAATAATGTTTCATTATTTCATTTCAAGCTTTATAAAACCAATGACACTTCTTCATAAGTTAATCACTGTAAAGTGTTAAAGTGTCATGAACTCTAAGTTGAGCCATTGATTGTACATCAATTTAAATGATATGGAAAGTAGATTTGAAAGAGTTGCTAACAAAGAAGTTTGTTATCTACATTTTCTAAATTGGTTAATTCTCGACAGGTTGATCAAAGTGTTAAAGTTGAATTGACTCAAAGATGAACCATTCAGAACACATCAACTTGAATGATATGAAAATTTGTTTGAAAGATTGATTTTTAACAAAGAGATTTATTTATCTATATATTTTGATGACACCGTTTGTCACTTTTACTGGTCGGATACTACATAGAGATATGGGTTGAAAGACATGATATCAGTGCAATGGTGAAGCCCGAGAGGAATACTCTCAAAATAAATGATGAAAATAGTTGTTCATAATTGCATGTTGTAGCATTTTGACAGCATTGATCTACTAGAATTTATGTTTACGTCTCACCAAAAGCCTTACACATTTGCTTTCTTTATTTTCAGTAGCATTAAACTCAAACCCAAATCAAAATCTTCAAATTCGTCATCTAAAGTTAGTCTTTTAACTCGAGATCTTGCAACTTAAAATATTTATTCTTGTAGAATACGATACTTGGTACTTACCATTTTATTACTTGAATGTGATAATATTGACATTTATATACTTACATGTGTCACCAAATAGTGTTGTAGAGATACAATGTTTTAAATAAACCTGATTTATTTAAAACATTGTTAATATTACGTGTAACTTTTTTGGGTTAAAATAATGTATGTGACCAATTTTCAAAGGTTCAATATTTATTTATTTAAAAAAAATATTCAGAGACTTAATTATTTAAAATAAAAAAGTTTAATAATTTTTTACATTCAAAAAAATAATTCAGAGACTTAATTATTTAAAATGAGAAATTTAATGATTTTTCAAAAAAAAAATGTTTTAAGGCCTAAACCATTCAAAATGGAAATGTTATTGGTTTTTTTTTTAGGACTTTTACTGACACATTCATTTAAAAACCTTTATTTTAATACCATCAACTTTTATGTCGGCATGAAAACAACTGCTCTACCATTACATATCCACCTTAATTTTACTGAGATTTAGGGCCTATTTTCAATATAAGTCCATCAATGTTAAATGTGAAACGAGCACGTAAACGACGCTTTGAACAGAAACTCGTATATATAACAAACAACAAGCATGTAAAATCCATGCATCAATAAGAACCCGACTACACCGCCATGTACCGATCGTCTAGTAGAATTATTCGATCATAGTAGAAATTGGTGCTACCTTCAATGGTATTACATTATACGACTACTTGCTTATGAATATAAGAAAAACGAGCAAAATTTGACGACAATGAGAGACCAACCTTCACGACGCTAATGAATAGACCGTAAAAACCGTATCCATAAACTTGCAAACCTGTTACGTAACCAAGAAAATACACACATAAGAATATTGGGATCGATACATAGCCCCAGAAAAGTTCAAACTGAAGCTCAAATTCAACTTTTTTGAGCGTTCTTATTCAACGGTTTATAATTCACGAGCATTATAGCATATAAAAACTACGTCAAACGATATATCAAACGCTAAAGTTAGCAAATGATATGGAATACATTTCAAATGGGAATAATAAACACCTGTTCGAGATGGGCACGAAATCGGTCCAAACTTTTATCTAGCCTAAAAGACAAAGCTTTATCTGGTCCGTCTCAAAAATTTTGGACCGATTAAGGAGCGGCAATCTAGCCTAGCCTCACCAGATAATTAGTACTCAAAAGACTCGCAAACATAAAAAAATGACTAGTAAACCAAATTTGCATAATCGACGGTAGCAGCTCAACTGGTAAGACCTTGAATTTGTTGCTCAGATGTCATTAGTTCAAGTCCCATCAAGGAATCTAAAGGGTTTGTCAGACTGTTAACTTCAAAACGCCATGAGATTAGCTAAGGTGCACGTATGCTGGCACGGACACCCAAAAGATGGTTCACCAAATATTGACCGAACACTACATGCAGGTCTTTCCGCTCTCGGGTAAGACCACCTTATTGCATCCAATACGGGCTTTAACTAGTAACTATTTCGCATGATCCGATTCTTATATTCGAGCTTATATCTTCTAATACCTATCTTCGCTTCTCTATTTCATTTAGAGCTCATGGTTTGTGTCTGTAGATGCTTCTTTTCAGAACACAAGCGTTATTATGCACCACAAATACAACTTTTCAAGATCAAAAATTCTCATAACTTACACTTGTCCTAGGCCCAGACCAAAAAAGCCCGACCTATAAAAGCCCGATTGGGCCCTTTTTCAACCCAAAAGCCTGGCCCGGCACGGGCCTAAAAAAGCCCGGACCAATTTTTGCTCACTGAACCTAGTGCATCTCTACTCTGGTATACCATAAATGGTAGATAACACAAGCACAACTAAGTGTCTTATCCTTGTAGATATGAGCATTTCAGTTCGTCACTAACATACCGTAAGTATTTACACCAGGTTAAACTAAAAGAAGCCAAATATACCACCAGCATCGGATAACAGTTAACCACATCAGACCAGCACAAACCTACCTTTGTTTAATATAAGCCCGTATGAACCAGAAATATAAAGGGTGTGTGCACACACAATTTACATCACCGACCGAAAGACTGCAAGTCACTAAAACTAAATTGTGCTTATAGCACGTGTAAATTCCTAATAAACTGCTTTATAAGGACTTAGGGGCTGTTTGGCAGTTGCTGAATGATTAAGTGGTCAGAATGATTAAGAGGTTTTCATGATATAGTGCAAAATGAAATATAATTGTTTGGTAATTGTTTACAATGAAATTAGTGCGCATAATGGTTAAGGGAGGCCCATGATACAAAATCATTCAGAGGGTTTTAGAACCGTTAAGAGGCAGACTTTTTTTTACCAAACAAGATTCACCTCTTAATGATTCAAATGTTGCCTCCTAATGGAACTGTTAAGAGGTAAACAAACAACCCCTAATAGAACCAAACAATTGCTCATCATATGTAAAGATGTTACAGTAAGTTAATATGACGCCCATCTTAGGACATCTTCAAATTAAAACATTTTATTAGTCTATTTATATGACATTATTTGAAAAAGTTCCTTATAAAAACAATTGCCATATGAAAAGATAAGAGTGTAAAATGCCGTAAAAAAGCCAATAGGATTTCAATGGTGCCCTTAAAAACTCCTGAAATCGTCTTATCAACTTATTGCATCATTTTTACGTATGACATACTATAACCTTTTAAGTCCTAGTCTATCGACACATTTAGGGGTCATTTACCAAACACTTACTGTGTAACCGCTTACCAACAAGAGTTATCACCCTCAAGTACCTTATCAGGTAACATTCTCAGCAATCAAAATGGATTGTTGGTAAGCGTTTCTTACCCGGTAGCACTAACCAGGTAGTCTTTCTCCCTCACTTACCGAGTAAGATTCTTAGTGCTTACCATGCCTCTTACCGGATAAGATTCTCAGTCATTGTCGTGCTTACCCGATAAGCGTTTGGTAAACTGTCCCTTAGACATATTTAGCATACCATAAAGCCAATTTTGTTCTAGTGAGTATAGATTATACACCACACTCTTGTATCCAAAACTACAATTCTATGAGCAAAGAGATAAAGAATTCAAGATTGTTTAGAATCAATCAATAACAAATGCATCAATAATTCAATGCAAAAGTATCAAACTCATAAAATCTCAAATGAATTCCATACTAAAAAACAAAAGAACAGCTAAACACATAAGGATGCATTTATATATAAACACTTCAAATTTAAGAAACAAAGCTTCCATTATACCTTCTGTTTCCTATCATGCCATCTTGCTGCTGCTCATAATCCCAGAAAGCAAACCCAATACTGCAAAAGCCAACAAAGGACTAACATCCAAAGTATCAAATAATGGAGGGATGATGTTCCTAAACAGATTCAAATAAGGATCACACAAATCACGAATGGCTGACAATGGCTGTCTATCCCATGGAATATTCGGAAACCAACTCAACAAAACCCTAACCAGCAAAACCCCACTGTAAATATCGAGCCATTTCGCCATTCCGGCGGCCACAACCGTCAACGGCGTGTGCAGACGACCCGACCGGCCACTCATGGTGGCAAAAAACAAAGGACCGGTAATTGACAGTACGTTTTTGTGAAGGTTCGAATTCACGGCGATGGTGGAGATTTTCTGAGCGAATACTTTGGAAGCTGCGAGGGCAATTGCGACTAGGGTTGTGATTGTTCTAGTGGAGCCGATGAGTAGCGATTCCGCTGGTGGATTTGGGGAAACCGTAGACGAAGATGAGGCGATAATCAGGGATTTCTTAGGGTTTGCGAGAGAAAAACGAAGGGATTTTGGAGAGAAAGGGAATTTGGGTTTAGAAAGGGAGACAATTGAGGGTCTGTGAGGATGAAGGAAGGTAGGGTTTTGGGGGATTAGGGTTTGGGAAGCCATTAGAGATAGAGAAGAAGAAGATGAGGAAGAAGCCATTTCCAATGAAATTTTGTGAAGATTTTTTCTACGCCTCACTCTTTAAACTTCGTTAAACAGTTGTGTAATGATTCTAGAAGCTTTCTAGAATAACCATTTATAAGTATGAAAAATGGCAAAAAAGATCCCTCATGTTTGACAAAAGTAAAAAATTAGTCCTTATATTTGTTACCATTTCATAAAAAAAAAAGGGAAAAAAATTGCATCAAAATGTAACGAACATTAAGGGGCTGTTTGGCATTTGCTGAATGATTTGGTACATAATGATTAAAAGACGCTCATGATATAGTGCAAAATGAAATATAATTGTTTGGTAATTGTGTACGATGAAATTAGGGCTCTTAATGATTACGGGAGATCTATGATACAAATTCATTCAGAGAGTTTTAAAACCATTAAGAGACAAACTTTTTTTTGCCAAACAAGATTCATCTTTTAACGATTCAGATGTTGCTTCTTAATGGAACCATTAAAAAGTAAACAAACAACCCTAATTATTTTTACTTATATCAATTTCGTTTGATAAACGTGTGCTCAACTTGGGTGATACTGACTTATTTTTATAAATTACAATATAATTTGATAACTTAACATTCGTATTATTAATGGTTACAAGATTTAACAATTATCGTTCAAAATTGGTATAAAATGTGAAGAATTAAGAGATTGTTACAATAATTGGGATGGGAAGGGGGGGATATAAGGATGGTGATTTGCCCCGACACGATAGGGAACCCAGCTCATTCTATCCAAACGGGGACGGGGATTCCTCGCTAAAACGGGTCCCAGGGTCAGGGGTTGTTACTCAAATCGTGGTTGGGGTCGGGGACGAGGATCCTCCGTAAACTCAAACTAACGGATATTCTTCATAAGGTTTGACCGGAGATGAGATGTTAATCCCTGTACCTGCCCGGGACCAGAGCCGGGGTCGGAGGCTGTTACTAAAAACCGGGGCCGAGGATTACAAAACCCTCCTCATCGCCGCCCCGTTGCCATGCCTAGGGGGATATCGCGTTAAATAATAATCAAGGCAGACTTCATTGTATTTTATGAATTTTAGCCATCTAAGAGCAATATCTCCATTGGAAGGCTCTTATAAAAAACTATTATTGAAGAGACTTCTTATAAGACATTCATATATTTGAGGCTCTTGTACAAGAACTTTGGTCGTCCATGAACTTTGTGTAAAATGACATTTTAAAAGTTTATTATATAATTAAATAATTACTGATATTTAAAAAAAAATGGGACCCACAAAATGAATTCTTATAAGAACTACTGTTTGGTCGTAATATCAATTTCTCTCTGTTACGATTCTATCCATACTGTTTGGTCGTAATATCCACATGTTACTTCTACAAAGTTAGGTTATGCATCCGGGAAAAACATATCTAGTTGGAGAATAAGGCACGCTCAAGCTCAATTGCTCATGTCAGTGTTGGTTGGTGCAGATGTCCGCGTTGGTCATTAACGAGGTTCAAAATCGCGTAAGAAGTGGTGTAGTAGTGAAGTCAAGCCTCAAGCCTTACATGCCACGGCGAGGAAGCAGCGGTTTACAAAACGTGACATAAGGCGACAAATTTGTATGTCATACTTAGAATTATATTTACATATGTGTTTTCTATATATTAGCTAATTAGATAATTATATTAAAAAATATTTATTCATATTAGAAGAAGAAAAATCACATAGATTATTATTATAGAAATAGTTTTCGATCAGATATTTAAAATAGAACTTATAAAAGTAATTTTGCAACTTTGTATTAATCATGAATCTATGATGTTTATGAATTCGTGAAACTACTAGTGATGTGATTAGATATATCTATAAAGATGTAAAATTTAAAGTTAATAGTGTTAATATATATATACACATTTATATATATATATATATATATATATATTGAAAGATCACGAATTTAACTAAGAAGACCAAATATTTGTGAAAATTCGTTTTTTAAGATAAAAAGGAAAAAATTACTCGCATAAACGTCCACAAACACGTATTTCACTTTTTATTAGAACGATTATTTTCGCAACACAATGACTAGTTCGAGCTTTGGCTGTCCATGGATCCAAAAAAATGTTGTCTTGCCACATACTATTGATCATGATTTAAATCATATGAACATAATTTGTGTATCATTTTACTAACCGAGTTAGCTAAAGGGATGTTTGACAGTTGCTGAATCGTCTTGTGTAGAATTATTAAGTGGTCAGAATGATTAAAAGACTCACATGATATTGTACAAAATAAAATATAATTGTTTGGTAATTGTTTACAATGAAATTAAGACTCTTAATGGTTAAGGGATGTCCAGGATACAAAATCATTCAGAGGTTTTAGAACAATTAAGAGGCAGACTTTTCTTTTACCAAACAAGATTTACATCTTAACGATTCAGATATTGTCTTTTAATGAAACTATTAAGAGGTAAACAAACAACCCCTAAATACTTATTGCTTCTTTACCATCTTTTAAGGGATTGTTTATGAAACATTTACCGCTTCTTATCAGTTAATTAAACACTTATTGTCTCTTATAGGGCAAGAAACACTTGATGTATAAGATGATATTTACCAATATTCTTGTTGTGTCAGTTTTACTAACCGATAATTTTACATGGTAAGCGATGGCGTTTTACTATGTTATATTGATGACCAGAAATCTTACCTCACCATTTTGCTAACCGAGAATTTTACTCGGTGAGAACAGTTTTACTATGTTATTCTGATGACCAAAAATCTTACCCAATTTATGTTTGATAAACGACTCTAGATAAGGCTTCATGCTCCCCCTTCACCCAATAAGTATTAGCATTTAGGGGCCGTTTATCAAACACTTACCCAGTAAGCGTTTATCGGTAAAATGTAACACTATCATTTAACTACCGGGTAAGATTCTAGTCCACCAAAACGGTATCGTATGCAACAATTTACCCGGTAAGCGCTTACCGTGGTACGAGTCGTCGCCCTCACTTACTGGGGTAAGGTTCTTGGTCCTTGTCTCGCTCTTACTGGGTAAGATTTTTGGTTCTTACCATGTTCATCCGGTAAAGTAATGTGACTTTGTGTTCACTTACTCGAGTAAGCGTTTGGTAAACGGCCCATTAGTAAACCGTTAATAGTCATTTCCCTTTGGGATATTTAAGTTTCTATGCTTAATGTAATCCAATATATCAATAATATGCTCCATATTAGCACTCTTTAAAATATATGCCCCAAGATAAATGCTTAACACAATCAGCTACAAGTTGACGACTAACAAAAAGGTCTTATTCTGCAGCAACACCATTAATGATACTGAGATAACAAATAAATAGACCATAAAATTTTAAAAAAAGGATGTTCAAAACCTGCCAAATTTAAATAAACAAAGAAAACATGATCTTGATTGATTAATAAGAACAGACAACAAACAGATAAAGAAGAAAAAAACCTCCATTTTCATTCTCTGTAACATCTTAATCTGCTCGGGATTGACCGGCACGTGAAGACAAGATGATACCGACGATGAGACCGTATAGAGCCAGAGCTTCCGCAAAAATGAGGATAAGAATCATCCCCACGAATAGCTTCGGCTGCTGGGCGTTGGCTCTGGTAAAAGATACGCAGATATTCAGCAGACGAAATGAAACATCATAAGATATTTTGAAATATTTCATTTTGCTAAAGGAAATCACAAATCCCTGAGTTGATTTCAGATAAACTAACTAAATCAAACAAGTGCAACATATCCCACTTGAAAGTAGGGTCCGGGAGCTTGGACGCACCCCTGTCCTCTACACCCAAAGAGTAGAGCGGATGTTTCCGTGAAAACCTCTTGCTTAAAAGTACGAGCGAGAAAAAGAAAAAGAAAAAGAAAAAAGGTAGGATGAAACATATTAAAAAGTAAGGAAAGGAAAGCACCCCTCTCTACATCTAGGGAAATTGACATAAATCCAAAGTTGATAGGTGGTTTCACTTCTTAGCCATTTTCCGAACTCAAATTCACTTTTTAACAAATTTTTACGCAGATGGCTTACCTTAAGCATATGCGTAAGGTTTCTGAATCCTTACGACCTTACAAATATGTGTAAGCCTTCCACATAAGGATTGGTTAAAAAGTGAATATGGGTCAGAAAACTGGCTAAAAAGTGAAACCACCTTCTGCTTTGGCTTATTTCATTTTAATTCAGCCTTTAATATAGACTGAGAAATAAAATCTAAAATGGTGGTTTCCATCATCCTGACAATTTATTGAAAACAAAAAACAAATAATTTATCTAAATTCATACAGACAGCTTAATCCATACAGGGTTTAATGGAATTAAAAACACCATGTTAGCCGTTAGATAGATTCGTCACTTTTATATTAATCTTACTACAACCATTGGATCAAGATGCATGACCTTCTCACCAGGACTAACCCAATTATGAAGCAAAAATTCAATAATGATAAAAATGACTTGCATCTATGGTAAAAAAAAGAATTAGAAACAAGAAATTAACAAGCTAATAAAGGTCATATACGACTGCCCACTTGGCATCATCTAATGAATAACAGTGTGGTGTGTAACTCATGAAAATCTCCCCAATCCATGGTCCAAAAATATTACCAATCCATGTATCAAGCCATGACTATTTTCTACCTGGTCATACATAGAAAGAAGATGACTTCCAATTGGTGAAGAGCAAGACAAGCGTTTTGACAAAAAAACAACCCACAAAATGTGAAGTACCAACAAGCATTCTTGTACAAAGCACAGAGATGTCCAAAACTAGGTTAAGAATTCAATTCCCAAATCCCAATTATGAGCATAAAGACCCAAAATAGAATCAAAGCTCACAAATAATACACTTGTATGGCTCTTCATCGTTTCACCAAACCACTCCCTTAATGCCCAAATCCATTAGTGGGTATCTTAAAAATTAAATTCACAGTTCTAAGTTGAATTCATCGTCCAATTATGTTTGGGTATTCATATTTTGTAAATCAGTTGTTTCATACTCTAGAATGTGTGACTGCTTAAGTGCCTTATTTTCTTGAGTAGTACTTGGTAGGAAATAAGCTTTTGTGCTATTATGTTAAATTTTCTCTTCAATTTTCAGGGATTTGGAAAAAGTTTGATGGCATTCAAACAACTAGAAGACATTAACTAGTTTGATAAGCAATATAGCTCAATGTACAACAAGGCTTCAAATGTTATAACTTTAGCATAAAGATGACTTAAACTGGTTTGATCTTTTACTAATTATAATAATTAAACCCAAATAACAGAAGTTGTTTACTTTTGAAGTTTTGTACTTCTTGATTTTCGAGGTTAGCGAGTGGTCAATTTCGTTAAACATATTGTTTAATTCTCATTAAATATCATGTCATCCAAATCCTTACAAACCACAACACATGTGCGGGTTTGTTTGAACTCTAGACACAACCTCATTCATCAAATTTACACTTTCAACCCCTAAGCCTTGAACCTAAACAATACAAGTTAAGTACTCATTAATTAACTCAATCACTTTATTAATTACAATTACCCAACCCCACAAATATGATTATGCTTGCGTATGTTCTTTCTCTTCAACCATCAAAATAATTAATATTCATATTATAATATAGCAGTTGCTTACTAATATTTTCATAACAAAAGGCAAGAAGAAAAAAAAGTTGCCTGTTGCATTTGATATAGAAATTTTTAATTTGTTTAACATTGACGGTTCCCAAATGATCAAAATAATTGATCACAAAGTAGTTTTTTTTATTACTTGGAGTTAGTGTGAGTTAGATTTTGGTTTATTCATTTTGATCAAATACAAGGATAGAATATTCAATCTGTTGCATAATTATCAATCCTAAACATCATTTTTTTACATATTCCTCTTGATATACTTTCCACCTCAATATCTCATCAGGCCCGATAAAAGCCTAGTCAAACCCAGTCTTTGGCCCCAAATCCTACCCAACCCAATTTAAGCCCGATCAAAAATAGGCTAGAAAACCTTTTTTCCCTCTTTCTTCCTTCTAGCTGTTTTTAGGCTTCAATAAGACAATTGTAGCCGTATTTTTTGTCATCTTATGATTTCTTCCCAATAATTCTACTATTTTACCCTTAAAACTAGCTGTTGGAGAAGTATTTTTGGGAAGCTCATTTTAGGTGAGTTTGGATAAATAGAAAGTGAAATAGATTATATAAGAATAGATTATGTATGTATGTAAGCTAAAACATAAAAGGCAATGAAGGACTTATGATATGATGAAAACAAATGGTAAATATGTGAGAGTTGCTTGACAATTGACATGGGCAACCTCCCACCCACATAAGTCATACTGAAGATTAATATATCTTTGTGGACTATGTTATGTAAATTTCTATTATCTTATTTAAATATCCATGTATCTTTAATGATACATCTTTTTTTCCTAAACATGAGTATTTTATTAATCAATTAGTTGATTTGAATGGCAAAACCTATAACATCAAGTAAAATATAATTGGCATTTTTTATGTGCTTAATCTTCAAATATCTTTTTTATTCATAGGGTAATGAAATTTTTTTTGTTATTAATATTTCATGGATATATGAGATAATGAGATGGAAAGTATATCAAGAGGAGTATGTAAAAATTGATGTTCAAGATTAATATTTATGGAACACATTGAACATCCTAACCTAATATTTAATCAGGACAAATGAACCAAAGTTTGACCTGACATCAACTCCAAGTAATTAAAACAAACCACTTTGTCATCAATTATTTTGATCATTTGGGAAAGATGATTAATGAACCAAACTGTTAAACATAATAAAAAAAATTATATCAAATGCAATTTATTCTTCTTGTTTTATGTTATAAGAATACTAGTAATCAAGTATTATATTATAATATGAATATGATAATATTTATTTATTTTTATAGTTGAAGAGAAAGAATATAAAAAGTAGAATTATATTGGTGGTTTTGAGTAATTGTAATGAAGTGATTGAGTTAACTAATGAGTGCTCAACTTGTACTGTTTAGATTAAGGCTTAGGGGTTGAAACTGTAAAATTGGTGAATGAGGATGTCTTAAGAGTTCAAACACACAAAACAGACATGCATTTGTTGTAGTCCTCAAGGATTTGGATGATATGATATTCAATGAGGACTAAACAAAATGTTTAACATAACCCACCGCTTGTTAACTCTCAAATTCAAAAATAGTGTAGTACAAATCTTCAAAGTTGTCTAAAACCAGAGGAACCCTAACCAATCTTCAAATGTTATACTATAGCATAATTTACTTTTTATGTGGTGCTAAATGTTGCCATGTTATCCCTATCCCATCGAACCTTGTAAGACTACACTATCAATGCATCAATCCTTTAAAGAACAAAAGCTAGGGGGTGATGGCACCTTTTTTTCTATTAGCACATAACATGCATCATATACGGATCTATATTATTTTAACAATGGTCCATCCTGGATCCATCTTCAATGAACAAGATCAATCTTTTGACCTTTTTTAACTAAGAATTTCATGACTAGCAGGCTAGCACAAACATGCATCAAACACAATTACAATTTTTGTATTCCTTCCATCCCAAAATAAGTGTCCACAATAGAAATGACACATAGTATTAGACATGCATAATTATTACACTTTTTAGTTAACCAATTGCAACTCTTAAATATTTGTGCATTAAGGGTTAATTTGAGAATTTAGTTATATATTTTTAATAAACTGGACACTTATTCTAGGACAGAGAAAGTAGTTCATATTCATGTCAGTTACTATGAATCATGAACAATACCTGACACCGGCATCACCGACAATTCCAATTGCCATTCCTGCAGAAAGACCAGCAAGACCACAAGCCAAACCAGAGGAAAGATGTGCATAGCCATCAAACAGATAATACGATTTCGCCTTAGGGTTAATTCCAGTACTGATGATAACAGCAATAATCAAACCATAAATACCGAGCACACCAGCCATAACCACAGGAACAATAGACTTCATCACCAGCTCAGGCCTCATCACACCCATCGATGCCACACCTACACCACTCTTCGCTGTTCCATATGCCGCCCCCATACCTGTACAAATCAATCAGCCAAAAACATAAACTTCGGCTTTTCCAAACCCAATAAACGTTACAAACTTACAAAACAGTTTTCATGTAACAAATGTGAAACATTTGGGACTGTTTTGTGTGGAAGAAGTACGAAAATTACTTTATATATGAAACACACCACATACACACTCATACAAACACAAGAACAGAACAGATCAAACAATAGGAATCAGAATCATAACTTAAAATCAGACTCGCTAAATGGTTTGGATCGGTTTTAAACGGTTTGTAACATTTATCGTATTTGTATTTGATATAGGTCTTCTCAAGTATCTAATCAAACATAAAAACAAGCGATTTAAGTAAAGTTGCCATAAATCCTATACTTCTAGAATTACAATCTGTCGTTCTATATCCAATTCGAAAATTCAAGATACGAATTTGTTCAAAACGTAAGAATTCAACACCAAATCTATATCTATGCATAAGTAATGGATTAATCGACGATAAATCAAGGAACTAAAAGTGTATATGAAATTAGGGATTTGATGACGTACATGAGAAGACAAGAGCAGCAGCTGCGCCAAGGAAACCAAAGAAAGGAGCAGTTTCATCACCGCTGAATCCTGAATCCGCCATTGTTAACAGATTTTGGATCGAAATCGATCGGAGAAGTGGAACCAGAAAGTTTTAGATCTGTGTGTATTTGTTGTTCAGCACCTGTCCTTCTGGATCACGAGCGGACAACTTTTGAGAAGATTTTATCGAATCAATCAATCAAAATATCGATTGGATCTATGAAAAAGATTTGTTAAATGCAAACTTAGTCCTTGTGGTTTATATAAATTAACAAACAAGGTCCTTGATTTTTCTTAACGAGTTACGTAACTGTAGTTTTATCTTAATAGCATATATGATATATATATATCTATACTATCTTATAAAATATTTGGCTAAAACTCTTAAAAATTCTTAAACCCGTTTATCCCTAAACGATTTCATCTCTATCCGATTTTATCTCATATCTGAATTCGTGTAACTAACTGCAGATAATAAAACTAATGATTACTTAAAATTCAAGATTACAAGTAAATTATGCAAAAATACAACTTATCAAATTTCGATATTTGAATTCGTATAACTAACTGCGGATAAACAAAATCAAATAGAGAATAAACATCTTATTTTAAAATATAAAAAATCTAAAATATAATTAGGATAATTATCGAGTTCCAACAAAATAATTAATTATTATCTTTATAAAAAAATTATATTATTAAACCAAATATAAATTACTTCGTTATTGTATCTAAATTTAATAAAAATTTTGAATTAAAAAATTACACAAAAAATGAGGAATTTTAAATAATTAATTTGATACGAATATCGATATATTTTTGTTATGCATAAAATACTGTATATTGATGCATATTAATTAAAATTCAAGATTACAAGTAATTATCCATAAGTACAACTTATTAAAGCTAGATGTTTGAATTCGTATAAATAACTACGGATAAACATAATCAAATAGAGGATGAACATCTCATTTTAAAATATAAGTAGAATAATTATCGAGTTCCAACAAAATAAATAATTATTATCTTTACAAAAAAAGTATATTATTAAACCAAATATAAATTACTTCGCTATTGTATATAAATTAAATTATAAAAAAATTGAATTAAAAAATTACACAAAAAAATGAGGAATTTCAAATAGTTAATTTGATACTAATATCGATGTATTTTTGTCAAATTTTTATAATATCTTCAAACATATATTTTATTCAAAAATAAAAACATCATCGTTTTCTCAAAGTCACATAAAACTATATTATAACATTGACTGAGATAAAAAATAAAATGAAATATTAAAATCACGATGTATCTCGCTGCTTGCGCGAATACACTTCTAGTTATATTATAAAACATTTGACAAAACTCTTAAAACCATTTTTTATGCATAAAGTAATGTTTATTTATGCATATTACTTAAAACTCAAGATTGCAAATAGGTTGTGCTTAGGTACAACTTATTAAAGCTCTATATATGAATTCGTGTAACTAAATGCAGATAAATATAATCAAATATAGAATAAATATCTCATTTTAAATATAAAAATCTAAAATATAATTAGGATAATCATTGAGTTCTAACAAAATATTTAATTATTATCTTTATAAAATATTATATTATTAAATCAAAAATAAATTATTCGTTATTAAACTTAAATTAAATTATAATAAAAAAAATAAATTAAATAAACTACATAAAAATGAAAACTTTTAAATAGTTGATTTGATATTAACATTAATATATATTTTTTTCAAATTTTTATGATATCTTCAAAATAAAATCATTATTACTTTATTAAAAGCACATAAAATCATATTTTTAACATCGACAGAGACAAATAATAAAATAAAACATTAAAATCGGGATGTGTCTCGGTCTCGCTGCATTGCGCGATTACGCTTCTAGTTTCTCTCTAACGTCGTCAATTAATTTCTGTCGTTGACCCTCCTCTTCATTGACTTTCATTTTTATTAAGGTAACGTTTGATACACAGACTGTATTGGATTGGACTGGACATGACTAAATTTTTAAGTGTTGTCTCATCAAACAGATATATAGTTGGCATATATTTATTAATTATGATTTAATTATAACCATTTTTGGTGTACATTAATTAGTTTAAATGAATTAGATAAATTCATATCATTTGTATGTGTTAGATATTAGATATTTGATCTACATATAGGCGGATTCGAAATACGACTTGAGTGATGTGAGTGGGTGTGTCATATAGGCGAGATCTACTTAGCAAGGCTGGCAAATCGAAAGTAGCAGTCGTCACTTTGTGACGAGACCGTGGCTACATTCCGCACGACGTAGCTTCATGACAAGAAAATCGTGTGGGGTTATTTTGTGACTGGTTCTGTCAACCATTTAAGTTACTATCATGCTATTGGGAAAAGTTTGCACTCATACCCGTTTTTTATTACTTGTTATTAATTTAATCTAGAAAAATCTCCCAAAATATTTTTTCCTTCTCTAATTGAAATCAGTGTAATCTCGACTTGAAACTTTGAAATCCAATCCCTGTAGATACGATCTCGATATTTTTACCAACTTCTGCCATATTTACGTGTGTGTATTTTTGCTATAAATATATTATTGTAGTTTGAGCTTGAGCTTGAGCTTGAGCTTGATTCGAGTAGGAGTTTGAGCTTGGTTCGAGCTTCAAACGAGTTCGAGCTCGAATTTAAAAAATTGCAATCGAATTCGAATCGAGTTTAGTTTTTAAATACTCGTAAGTTTTCGAGTCGAGTTCGAACTTGAGAAATAGTTATCGAGTTTAAGTCGAGTATACTGATACTCGAGCTCGACTCGCATCATTTGCATCTCTAGATACGAATGATGGAAACTCGTCTATGAAGTGAAATGTATGCAAAATTAGAATAATTAAGTGTTTTTTTAATATTTTAAATTGGAAAAATTAATTATTGAACTAAATAGAACTAAATGATTGTTTGACAGTTGCTTAATGGTTTGATTCAGAATGATTAATAGGATCTCATGATATAGTGCAAAACTAACCAAATATACTGGTTTTTCTGGAAGTACAAATAAGACGAGGTAAAAAGCACTTCAAATCACTATAGAGTTCTTTCCTATCTAAAAACAATATATTTCCGCATTCAATTTGCATTAGGGGCCGTTTACCAAATGCTTACTCGGGTAAGCGCTTATCAAGTCACATTACCTCACCAGATGAATATGACAAAGACCAAGAATTTTACCCGGTAAGAGGAAAGCAAAGACCGAGAGTCTTACATGGTAAAGCGCTTACTGGGTAAGTTGTTATATATGATGTCGTTTTGGTAGACTAAAATCTTACCAGGTAAGTAAGCGATAGCGTTGAATTTTACCGTCAAGCGCTTACCGGGTAAGTGTTTAAGTAAACGGCCCCTTAAACTAGCCTCAATGCAGTTCTACCTACTACTTTCCGTATCATACGCATCAACATCAAAACTTACTTTTCATATTTTTAATGCATAATTTAACTTGACTCTAATATAAATATGGATGCATACGACAAGGTTGGGTAGTATTTTTGATTTCACAAATGAACCACCACCAAAACTAATCGATATAAAAGAAAGTTGCAAAAACCATGGTCTTAATCTGCAGTAACTGGATATTCACTAATGAATAATGATATGATTGAGACAACAAAGAATTTGATCAAGAAATTTAGGAGATGCCAAATTCAAACAAAACAAAAAAAAGAACATGATTTTGATTGATTAAGATGGACAAACAACAACAGATATAGAGGAAGAAAAAAAGCTCCACCTTTTAATTGTTATATCTCATCTTCTTAATCTGCTCTGGATTGACCGGCACGCGAAGACAAGATGATACCAACGATGAGACCGTACAGCGCCAGAGCTTCCGCAAAAATGAGGATAAGAATCATCCCCACGAATAGCTTCGGCTGCTGGGCGTTGGCTCTGTTAAAATACAAACAAATATTCAACAGATGAAACGTCATTAGAGAATATCCAACCGGTTCTTTAGAGTAGGGAAAATAAAGATTTTGGCTATTTTTTGCTCCAACGGATTCTCCGAATGAAGAAAATAGGAGAGAGATGGTAAAACTCTCCAAAAATGATTGCTTAAAAATTATTTATTTATTATCGTCACCAATAAGAATCCTTGAAATTAAATGTTTAGGAGAGAGAAATAATATTTTATTAAATCTTTTAAATATTATTATCACAATAAAATTAATGTTTGGAGTTGAATGTAATTTCTTTTACCCTCCATTTTGGAGAATTTGCCGGAGATATTGTAGTTATTTATTATTTTGGAATTTTCCATTTTGCCAAAAGAAATCATAAATCCTCGAGTTGATTTCAGATAAACTAAGTGTTGTTTGTTTACCTCGTTAAGGGATGAATCTTGTTTGGCAAAAAAAAGTCTGCCTCTTAATGGTTCTAAAACCCTCTAAATGATTTTATATCCTGGATCTCCCTCAACCATTAAGAGCCCTAATTTCATTGTACACAATTAACAAACAATTATATTTCATTTTGCACTATATCATGAGAGCCTCTTAATCATTCTGCACCAAACCATTCAGCAATTGCCAAACAGCCCCTTACATCTAACAAACTCAATATATCTCATTCGAAAATAGGGTCCAGAGTGGAATGTAGGCATAGTTGTCTCTACCCCAAAGAGTAGGGCAGTTGTTTCGATGAAAACTTCTGCAAAATCTTCCATTTTGCCAAAAGAAATCACAAATCCTCGAGTTGATTTCAGATGAACTAACTACATCTAACGAACCCAATATATCTGACTCGAAAAGAGGGTTTAAGGTGGAATGTATGCATAGTTGTCTCTACCCCAAAGAGTAGGGCGGTTGTTTCGGTGAAAGCTTTTGAGTTGGAAAAGTGTGAGCTAAAAAGAAAGAAGAAACAAGAAAAAGGAGAAAGGAAAAAGAAAGAAGACACATTGAAACATATAAAAGGTAAGGGAAAGCACGCATCCCTTCGTGTTATCCTATCTGTTAGCTCCCTAACCCTCCGTAAGTCCCACCCTCAACCTCTGCCGATTTTGGAGTTAATTTGGATAGTGATAAGAAAAAGACGCTACCAAATAGTTTACTACGAAGATTATGTTGATTAATTTATAGCTTTAATGGATGCGCCATTTCCTACGTAACTTCCTTCTTCTCTATTCACACTAGCTACATACCCTACACCAAAGTCGAATACCCTAGTTTTGTGGCTTCAAGAACTCCTATCGAAGTCGATGTTCTCGAAAATACCGTCATCATGACAAATACTTTAATTTTAAAAAGTAAAAGATATGATGTCTAAAGGCATATACCCATTTCAAAATCACATAATGCTTACTGATGTATATTTGTTTATCGTTCAGCTTGATGTAACAAAAGTGAAATTTACAACGCTATTGGTGATCAGAAAAGAATACGACTCGAAAGAAATGCCAGACGAGGTAAAATATGGAAGTTTTTGATGTCATGAACAGCCAACATTGTGAAATTTGTTCTCATTGATCATATTCTATTTCTATGTTTCCAATAAGTATACTGCATTATATCAACTATAAACACCATACGGATAGCCACGAGAAAATCCATGCTAGAAGGCAATAACAGCATTAGAAGACGATATATTTTCCCATCACTCTTGTTTGGTATTGAATCAAGCAGACAGGTTTAACCATTACTAATTTTAGACCAAAACAAGCTTACGCCTACAAGCGGTCCTTGGGGCTTTTCTAAAAGGACTGGTCCAAAATTAGTTAACCAGTCATTTTGCATCTCTACTCCAGAATGTGTGACTGCCTAAATGTCTTGTTTTTTAGCAGCAGTCGTTATACTCCTATGAAATAAGCTTCTGTACCATTATATCGAAATTTTCTTTTCAATTTCCAATAATTTGGAAGAACATTTAAGGAATTCAATCATCTAGATTCTAGAGGAGACTAACTAGCTTGAAAACTAATAAAGCTCAATGAACAACACGGCTTCAAATGTTATAACTTTAGCATAAAGATGACTTAAATTCATTTGATCTCTCACTAATAATAACAACTAAACCCAGATAATATGCGTTCACCAATCAATCCCCATTTGCTTGATCAATACAACCTACTCTGATACAAAACCGTTTTATTTGTTATTGTACTTGATACATATGTTTTCAAGACTATACCCCTCTCCCTCACCCTTATGTTGCCATGCCACATTGTCACCCATATTCCTCGAATGTTGTATGACAACACTATCAAAGCATCCGTCCTCCAAAGCACAGAAGTCGAGGAGAAGATGATGGAAGTCTTTTTCTATTAGCACAGTTAGTATGCATCATAAGAGGGGTTAATCTATATTATCTTAACCACAATTGACTCGAGATCCAAACCAAACAAACCAGTGTATCCCTCCCAAAGGTGGGTGAGTGAGATGTATGCAGACCTCACCTCCACTTCTAAGAGTAGAGTGGTTGTTTTCATGTGTTTCCATGAAGACCCCGGTTTGTGCAAAGTGCACAAAAAACAGATATAGATTGCTCAAAAATTTTGTGGGAAAGAACATAAGAGCATCAAAAAAGAAAAACTTGAAAACAAGAAAGGTAGTGCTAAATTTTGAAAAGATGAGCTACAAGTAAGCAACCAAACATCAATCGCACAAACAAACAGAAAATACTAACGGAAGCAGGTACACGAAAACGTAACCAAGGTAGGAGGAAGACTACACCCCCTAGCCTAACCTAGGATTTAGGCTGGTCTCACCCTAGTCTGCTATCATAATCTGTGTTTCCAAAACCTCCTATAAGAGGCTATTTGGTTGGCTTTCCATCAAGTTTTGTATAGATAAAGCTGTCTATGTGGGTTAAAATGTCTCTGTAGATTGGAAGTATTTTTGTTTGGGAGGGTTTTTTTATAGATGAAATGAGTGTATTTTTTAATTGCTAGGGGATAGGTTTGAAAAAACTTTGGCTTTCTACATAAAGCTCCCGGCCTCCCCCTAGAAACTTACTGGAATAAACCACTTTCTATATCATCAAGCCACTACCAGACAATCGTGTATAGCTCACCGAATAAGTTGCGAGTCTCGTTAAGCTCTTTAATCTGCTAACAAACAGGCCCTAAGTCGACTCTAGATCATCTTCGATAAACAAGGTCAATTTTTTGACCTCAGAATCAAAAAAGTATCAAACTACCAATTTTATAACCAGCACTCCAGCAGTTAGCCCAAATATGCATCAAACACTATTACAATTGTGTTATTCAGATTCAAATCAGTTATGAATCAGAACAATACCTGACACCAGCATCACCAACAATTCCAATCGCCATTCCTGCAGAGAGACCAGCAAGACCACAAGCCAAACCAGAGGAAAGATGTGCATAGCCATCAAACAGATAATAAGACTTCGCCTTAGGGTTAATTCCAGTACTGATGATAACAGCAATAATCAAGCCATAAATACCAAGCACACCAGCCATAACCACAGGAACGATAGACTTCATCACCAGCTCAGGTCTCATCACACCCATCGACGCCACACCTACACCACTCTTCGCTGTTCCATATGCCGCTCCCATACCTGTACAAATCAATCAGCCAAAAGCTTAAAATTCGATTTTTCCAGATCCACAATTCTATTATCCTCAATTCTCAAGTATCTAATCAAACATAATAATATTCGATTAAAGGAAGTTACCATAAATCGAATTATAGAATTACAATCTGTGGTTCCATATCCAATTCGAATATTCAAAAAATGAATTTGCTCAAAACGTAATAATTCGACACCATATCTATCTCTATGCATAAGTAATGGATAAATCCATGATAAACCAAGGAACTAAAAGAGTATGAAATTAGGGATTTGATCACGTACAGGAGAAGACAAGAGCAGCAGCTGCGCCGAGGAAACCAAAAAACGGAGCCGTTTCATCACCGCTGAATCCTGAATCCGCCATCGTTAACAGATTTTCGATTGGAATCGATCGGATTTTGAGCGAAGAAGTAGAAACAGAAAGCTTTTAGATATCTTCGCTGTGTTTGCTGTTCAAAGACTTGTCCTTCTGAATCACGATCAAACCATCGATTGCAATCAAAAATCTGTTTCAAAAAACTATTTCAAATTTATATTTAAACATAATAGAAATATGTTATTTTTATTAATTTATTAAATTATACAAAATAATTTTTTTAATAACAAAATATATTTGAAAATTTTCATCAATGTGATTAAATTAACATCAAAATAAAAAAATTATGTAGTTTTCAATTTTTATTTTATACGTTTTCTATACTATTTTTTATTATTAATATTGAATAAATTATATAAATTAATTAAAACTAGAAGGGTACTCGTGTAAATACATCGAGACACATTTCCATTTCAACGTTTCGTTTTATTTGTTATTCATGTCGATATAATACGATTTTATGTGGTTTTAAGAAAGTGATAATGTTTTTATTTTTAAATAAAATATAAACTTGAAAGTATCATATAAAATTTGTAAAAAATATATTAATATTAATATCAAATTAACTATTTAAAATTTTTTATTTGTGTATTTTTTTTTTATTCAAATTTTTTATTATAATTTAATTTATCATAACAAAGTAACTTAATTTAGGTTTAATAATATTTTTTTAATAATTAGGTATTCTGTTATAACTCAATAATTATCATAATTATATTTTAGATTTTTTAGATTTTAAAATGAGATATTTATCCTCTATTTGATTATGTTTATCCACAGTTAGTTATACGAATTCAAATATAGAGCTTTAATAAGTTGTATTTATGCACAATTCACTTGTAATCTTGAATTTTAAGTAATGCGCATCAATAAACAGTACTTCATGCATAAAAAATGATTTTTAAGAGTTTTTGTCAAATGTTTTATAATATAGTATATATATTAATTAAATAAAAATAATATTTTGAGCATAATATAATAAAATTTTAAAAAGTATAAAATACAATTGGTAAAATTTAAAGATTGAGCACAATATATAAATTTAAGTTCTATTTTAAAGTTATATTGGTAAAATATGAGTCTGTTCTACCATGTTCTATGGGATAGGATGGGGTGGAACACGCATCACCTATTCCACTATGTTGATGTTTGTTCCACTTAAAAGTTATGTCAAACGTGTAGCAGTGATCGCTGATATGTTCTGTTCTATTCTGTCATTTTCAGTGTACCAAATGCATTCTAAGAGATGATAATTTTTACCGATAATCTTATTGTGTCATTTTGTTGACTGAGACTCTTACCGGGTAAATAAGAGTGATGACTCTTACGGTTTTACCAGGTTAACGCTTATATTATTTAAAACGTAAGATAAACGATGGAGTGACTCTTACCCAATGAACACTTATCAACTTTTTCTTGGTAAATGGCCCCTTAGAGTAAATTATGGATTTCGTGCCTCGATTTTTTTGTTTATTATTAACCTGGATATCCAACTCGCGATGCGAGCCGACTAATTCCAGGACAACTACCTACTTTGCAGATAGTCCGGAGTCACCGCATTTGAACCTTCATGGCCATAAGGGGATTTTTAATCCTCCTTAGATTTGAACCTGGGACCTCCTAGTACTTTTGACCTTTGAAGTCAAGCTTAAACCAATCAGGCACCACCTTTGTTTATTACAAAAAAAAAAAAAAAAAAACTTAGGAGTTATAATATGCTTTTTATTTTGGTCTCGGTCTCTGAGGCTAAATCCGTCAATCTTTTTCGTTAGGTACCTATGCACATAAGGGCATTTTAGTCCTTTTAGATAAAAAAAAAGGTGATGTGATATATGAGGACGTTTTATTCCTATTTCGTAATAAACTTGTAATGGAATAAATTAACTGTCTCAACAGAAACCAGATCAAATCAAATAGGTTCCTTCTTTTAACTTGGCTCTGTCTCAATGCGAACGAGCTTCCTCAAACAAAGAAAAACGGAAAAACGTGTGTGTGTGCGTGTGTGTGCGTGTGCGTGTGTGTGCGCATGTGTGTTGAGCACCATATCATGAGTCTTCCACTTGGCTTAATTTTGTGTTGATAACATGAAAAAATGGTTTATAGAATACCAGACGGTGAGTTATATATACACTTGTCGACTTATTATTGTGAATTAATCGATATATAAACTATTTCAATTTTATTATTTCTTTGTTAGTTTTAAGTATATGAAATTTATATATATCAACTACTGTTGAGTCACCAAAGGGTCTTTGGTCTAGCGATATGCGAGTCTTTAGCCTCCTAGGAAGTCAAGGGTTCAAACCTCACCAAATGTAAGGAGGGTGTGTAGTTTATCTATTATATTTTCCGTATATAAATATTATATATACTTAAAAAAAATACTGTTGAGCCTGTATTAAAGATTATTTGTACATCTATCAAACCTACATCAAGCTATACCGAGTAACGTAATACTACATAAAGAACTTATGAAAGAGCGGTTCATATTACATTATATTTAAACATTTAAAAACTGTATTTACGTCTATCGAATTGCTATCGAGCCTACATCGAACTATTATGTTTATATTTACAGAGGAGAAATACATTGTAAGAAAATCAAGAATCCAAACAAGCCCACAAGAATGAGGAACATCTCATTAGGAGTAGTATTAAGGGACTGTTTACTTGCGGCTTAATTAGACTTATTGGTCTATTTGGCTTATTCGCACAACTCATTTGGGTTGTGTACTTACGACTTATTCACACAGAACATGGCTTAATCGCACGGATAGAATGGTGTGTTCTCTCCATTCAGCCACAAAAATGACACCCCTACCCCTTATTTAAAGCACCGCCTCCTTTCCATATGAGACACCCCATCGTCGGCCTCTTTATAATTTTTTGTTTTGATGTTCATATAATTAATATTGGGGGGTAAATCGGTCATTTATGTTATTCAGACTGTTGGTTCAAATAAAAAAAAAGTAAATAACAACACTCACTTATTCGGACAGACAAACTTATCCATACATGACTTAATAAAAAATTTGGTAAACAACCCCTAACTTTGATTATCATAACACGATAAAGCATCAGTGAGTGACAACCGTGAGGAACAATAGAAGAACGAGCAACGGTGACGGCAAAAAGAAGATAACAATGGCGAAAGAGGAAAGTATCATTGAAGAATGACGAAGTAACGAGAAATAATGATGTAGCCGAACAAGGAGTATTGCAGCTGAGGGTAGAAATATCAGAAGGGCATGGTTGGGAAATACTATGACTAAATACATAAAACCGTCCTGTATTGCTACAAATCTAGTCACACATAAACACAAGGGTGGTGTCTGATTGGTTTGAGATTGACTCCAAATGTCAAAAGTATCAGGAGGTCTCAGGTTCAAATCCAAGGAGGAATAAAAATCTCCTTGTGGCCACGGAGGTTCAAATGTGGTGACTCCGGGCTATCTGCAAAGCAGGTGGTCGTCCTGAGATTAGTCGGCTCGCATAGCGGGTTGGATATCCAGGTTAATGAAAAAAAATCTATCAACTAGTTACCCGGATACATAAATGTTTAAAACTTTACACCTTAGGTATCAAAATAGAAGTTTTGAAAGTACATTACCCAAAATAAGAATCAAGTTAAAGCACGTTATTTTTTTCATGCAATTTGCTCAATTAAATATTAGTTTATAACTATAAATAATTGGGGGCATATAATATAAAAATCGTTTAAAAGAGAAACCGTAAAACCTAATTTACATGTATAGTTTCATAGATGAAACAACACATGTGAACATGAAATGTTCATACAATATTGTTTCATAATTGGAACATTAAAGAATATCTTTACGTGTGAAAAACATAAATACATTTATAAGGAGATGTTTGGTTAGAGGTATTAAGCAGTAATTAATGAGAATGAAAATAAAATGAATTGTTTGGTTTTCTATAATATAACGAGTTCATTCCTCCATAAGCCCAAAATCTTATTCCTGGTTAAACTGGAGGGATAAAAATTCATTCTCATTTTCATTATCTGTCATTTTTATTTTCATTTTTCAGCATTAACCAAACAGACCCTAAATCATTTTTCAGGAACAGAGAGTTTCCCCCTTTTTCCAACCCGTAATCGCAACGACCCAATTGCAAGAGCTCCGTTACCCTTCGACGCCTTCGACGCCTTCGACAGGCATCTCAATTGAAATCTCCCAAACGGGTACTGTTGGGCCGGGTGAATTCAATAATAAACATCTGTTGACAACAAACTCTTGAAACAACGAAACCCATTTTATATGTTTTATGGTCTAAATAATTAAATAATCAAATATTTGAACATATAAAAATGGTGTCCATACAATTAAATTGCTACCATTGATTGATATGCATAAAAAGCATCTCCACCGTTGATTAGTGTGGTACGATTCAGAGGCGACGGTCTATAAGAGGCACTGAGATGCAGTTGCGATCAAAGAGTCGAGAGGATAATCTGTAATCATAACCAGATCACAGAGAGTGAGAAGAAATGGCGATCACACTCAACAGTGGATTCAAAATGCCCATTATCGGATTGGGTGTATGGCGTATGGAGGGTAAAGATATCAAAGATCTTATCATCAATGCCATCAAAATCGGATATCGCCATTTCGATTGTGCTGGTATACTCTCTGTTTCAAAGTTTTTGTCAGCTTGGTATTCGGTATGGATGATTAGTGATGTTTTCATGTTAAAATTTGATCTGTATTACGTTATTCCGACGGAAATCTGTACTGATTTTGGAGAATAAAACCTCGAAAGAAGTTGATTTGTAGAGGTTAGTTCTTAGTGCAGATAGGCATCGACTTTTGGTTAATTGATCCATTTGTGCATTTGTTTTGGAGTAATCTAATTGATTAAGGAGGTTTTCTATTTGTGTTTCTTCTCAAAATTGGTTAAAGGGAATTGATTAGTTACACTTAGGGCTGCATAATTGATCACCTATGTGTTAAGCATCACATCCCTGTAACTAGAAGCTAATTGACCATCACTAATTACATGGAACGCATATGCATCAAGTTAGGCACCTGATTAGAAGATTAGAACACTAGCTTTCACGTTTCTGTTTTGTAGTAATATGATTGATCTGGGTTTGGAGCTTTTGTGAATTTCATTGGTTTTGTATGTCTGTTTCTGAAAATATGATTGATTAGGTTTGGGCATGTGAGAAATTTAAGGTTTTATATTTGCATTTTGTTTGAAAATGGTTATAACTTGGGAATAAAGTCATCAAAAATCCCTTTTAGAGGATGCCCTTTTTTATGTTTGGTGGGAGGATCTGCAATTAGTTAATCTTGTTTATGAGCTCACTATGGTTTTTGCCTTGTATTTTGGGTTCACCATCAACCCTTTTGGTTATTTAGACTCATTTTGATTTTTGTGGTTAGAAGAGTCGATATTGGTCTATGTAGTTTACTTGTTTTTAAAGTTTTGACTGTTGCTGTTCTTACTATAGTCTCCATACCAAAAAGGTTTGTTTTGGGTTAGTTATTCAAACCCAATGATCCCTGCTTTAAGTTTGATAGATTTTTCCTTTTCTTATGCTCTAAGTGTTATGCATACTCAGTTGTAACTTGGATGATGGTATTTGAGTGTTTGAGAGCAAGGTGTTTTCGATCTAAAAGACCAAAAGGGTATCATTTCGTCCAGTTATGATGGTATATTTCATGTATGTCTGATTTGCTTAATTTAAAGGTTTGTTTCAACATAAGATAGGTTGCAAGTAATTGGACTAAAAATCATGTAGTTATATGTGTCGAATATTATAAGGTGTAAAATATTGAAATTAAAATAGCAAAGAGCTTTTGTTAATTGACCTAATTGCTTTTTGGAGGTGCTCAAAAGCAAGTTTAAGCAACCCCAAGCGAAGTTTTCAAATTCAACATCTTTAAGGTTATTCCAATTTGTCCTGCGGCTTTAGCCTAGCGGGTAAGGAGGTGGGCATCCTTTCATAATGGGTGGAGGACTGGGTTTCGACTCCAGGCACCACCCACCTCCCCCTGGGACACACGATTTTACCTCTCCCATGATGGTCGTGGGACTGGTACGATGGGGGTGCTCCAAAGGGTGGCACAATACCCTTTTTTGCAGATTTTACAGAAGGTTATTTCAGTAGTGTTACATTTTGGATGTGTGGATACACACAATGAAATATCATCAGATAGTTTCAGTCGTTCTTGAGCAAACAAAAGACTATTTCAAGAGGATAATCTGTTTAGCCTTAGACATTTGGTCCATGTGCCCAACACACTCCAACAGAAACACCTTACTGCAAGTCTGCAACCTTCCACACCATGATTCGGTGATTGTTGCTTGCAGCCGATTATCAAAATGAAGTGGAAGTCGGGGAGGCACTAGCCGAGGCATTTAAGACCGGATTAGTGAAGAGGGAGGATCTCTTCGTTACGACAAAGGTTTGTGGCTTATATACTGTAATCAACTTATGATCGGTTGGTGCACTGGATTTGCCATGATTCTTCTCTCCTTATGGTGCACATTGTTAACGATTTTTGTAATTTGTTGTCTTGTATTCAGCTATGGAACTCTGACCATGGACATGTTGTGGAGGCTTGTAAAGCCAGCTTGAAAAAGCTGCAGCTCGACTATTTGGATCTCTTCCTTGTTCACTTTCCCATTGCAACAAAGCACACTGGTATTAACCATCATGTTCTTTCATGATTACATGGTTGCGGCTACATTTATTTTTTGAATTATTTTATTATTTAAATTTGTGGTCTTAATTTGATTTGTTGCTTATCATAGGAATTGGCACAACCGCTAGTGCATTGGATGAAGATGGTGTTTTGGACATCGACACTACCATTTCCTTGGAGACTACATGGCATGCTATGGAAGAAACTGTCTCCATGGGCTTGGTTCGCAGCATCGGGATAAGGTTAATGTGTTCTAGATGTCATTTTTACCATCTACTCCCTCTGTTACAAGATAAGCGTCCAAATTTCTATTTTAGTTTGTCCCAAAATAAATGTCCACTTTCAGAAGTGTCTACTTTCCAATTCTACCCTTAATCATAAAATGGAGAAATTCATTACCCCCTCTATTATTAAGGTAAAATTGTCATTTTGGTAATTAGAATATGTAATAATTACTCATTTGTATAACTTTGTGCCACTTTCAGGTCAAACCTTTTATTCAAACTTAAGTTTCTTTCAAATTTTAACACCCAACGTTTAGCTTGTAGTCCGCAGCATAATTATCAACGATTTCTTGAATATTTCAAATCAAGATGGAAATTGAGGATTGGTTTGTTTGACTCCAAACATATATCTTGTCACTTCGACTTTTAGAGTCACACTTTTTGCTTTTCTTGCTTAAAATAGAAATGGGTCCGATTTCAACACCGGACACATTTTTGTAGTTCACAACATGATTATCAAGGATTCCTTGAATATTTCAAGATTCCATATCAACTTGGTTGATGATTGGTTTGTGTGACTTTAAAAGCCATCTTACGAGTTCTATTTCCATTTTAACACCTAATATTATCTTTTAGTTGAGAGGTGTCCCCCCCCCACCCCCGGACCCTACTTTCGAGTGGGATTTACTTTGTCAGTTTCATCAGGTTTACCATGTTTTACTACACAGAAGAATTAGCAAACTTAAAGATTTCGTATCAATTAGTTTGACTTTGGTAGTTAATTTGTTCTTGGGACGGAGGGAATGCTATGACTAACTTTGGTTGAAATTATGCAGCAACTACGACATTTACTTGACCAGAGATTGCTTAGCTTACTCGAAAATTAAACCTGCTGTAAATCAAATTGAAACACATCCATACTTCCAGCGTGAGTCTCTTGTTAAGTTCTGCCAGAAACACGGAATTGCTATCACGGCCCACACCCCTCTTGGAGGTTCAGTGGCTAATACAGAGTGGTTCGGTTCAGTTTCTTGCTTGGATGATCCAGATCTCAAAGTAAGTTTCCCCCTTTTCAGGTTGAATGCACTCATTGTCATTTTTCAACATAAAGAAGTGGTCTGAATTGTTTAAAGTATTCTTTCCCATTGCTCATAGTGATAGATGCTGCAAATGGGAATAAATTGGTGCAAATCTGAAACTAATTCTATATCAAACCTTTCACTTATTAGAGAAATCATTTGGTTGACCTCAGGAGTCAAAGATTTAAAGAAATCATTGGGTTGACTTTGAAATCTCAAAATTTTAGTGAAAGCATATGGTAGATCTTAGAGGTTGATTTAAAGTAGATTATAGCCTCATAGGAGGATACAACATTGCTCGAAAAACTTAAATCAATTTTCTTGACCTTAGAATTCATTTCAAACGTTCGTTAGACTTTGCTCACACTCGTGTACAAGTCAGGGATATTAATGGAAATAGTTGCTCGGGGGCGATTGAGTCTTAGGGGGTCACATGCTTAGTTGTCTCAACGTATTGGAAAAAATTACGACTCTGAAAGGTGTCATTGTTGTGATTCGATGTGTGCCATCATAAGGCATTGTTGCCGGAAAACTGAGAGGCTACAATAGCATATCGAAGCTTGAATTAGAGATTTGATGGTTAACAATGGTGAAAGACAAAAACCCTAACCGTAAACCGTAGAAATTGGATCTAATTTCTTAGTGTTTTGTGCTGTATTTTCTTACAATTATTAAATTTTAATTTATATTGTATCACGGTAATCATTTTGTGTCATTGCTACAAAAATATTTGGATCCTCCACTATAGCCGCTCTACACTCTGGGGTAGAGGATATGTCTGCTTACACCTTATCCCCGTACCCTGTTTTCGTGATTAGGCCTTAGCAGAGAAATACAAGAAGACCGTGGCTCAAGTGGTTCTCCGGTGGGGCATACAAAGAAACACCATCATCATCCCTAAATCATCAAAGAGCGAGCGACTTGAAGAGAATTTCAAAGTGTTCGACTTTGAGTTGAGCAAAGAAGATATGGAGCTCATCAAGAACAAGGATCGGAAATACCGAACCAATAACCCTAGCAAGTTTTGGGGCATCGATCTTTATGCTTGAACTTTAGCCAACCATATTTTCTCAACATTCGCTTGTTTTTTTATGGGAGACCGTAAGCGTACGGAAACCTTCCGAAGCCAACTGTATGTGGTTTTCTAAGTCGTGTTTGTGATCCGAATAACATTTTCTTCCTAGTTAACGGATTACTAGGATTTGATCTTGATGTCGTTTTCTAGTAAGTTATCGTTTTCTAGTACTTTCGTCAATTGAGGAATTTTTGATTTTGTCATAAAGGAAAATTGCACCAAAATGGAACCAACTTTCACCTGATTCCTATTTTGGGGAACCAATTTATAAAATTGTCATTTAGGGGTCTTTATCAAACTTTTTGTTTATTTAAGGGTCTGGTTGACTTGTTGACTTGTTAACTTGTTAATGCTGATATCATCCAGTTCTTTTGCCAACTAAGATATTCCATGTCATATTGATTTTTTATTTTAAAACTAATATTTCACGTCATATTGATTTTTTATTTTAAAATTAAGGGAAAAGTCTAAAAAAACCCAATGGACTTTAGTGTTTGGAATGATTAAGTCCTTGGACAATTTTTTGGAACAAACAAGTTCTTGGACATTCCAAAACATGTTAAATAACTCATTAGACAATTTTTTGAAACAAATAAGTCATTGGACAATTTAAGACATGTTAAATAACTCATTGGACAATTTTTGGAACAAATAAGTCATTGGACAATCCAAAACATGTTAAATAACTCCTTGGACTTTTCTAAAACCTGTTGGATACATTCTTATGACTTGTACAACTAGTTAAAGTGGTAAAATAGAGAAAAAAAGTCCGAAAAAACCCCAATGAGAACATTCATATTTTGAACGATTAAGTCCCTAAATATTTTTTGAACCAAAAAGTATTTAGATCTATAAAATTAAACAAATATAACAAAAAAGTACTTACATTTACAAAAAATATAATTACATTTAAAAAAGATTTTTGATAAAATTTATTTTAATTAAAATTAAAATATATTATGTCAGTGATTTTTCAAACAAAAAAACAAAAAAAAATTAAAACGAATTATTATTAAATTTATTTTA